CCAGCCCCCTTAAATTGTCTTTGGGGCTCCTTCTCTGGAAGCCTGGCCTAAGGCACTTTTCTGTCCTGCTGCCCCACGCCCAACTGTGGAATGGGCTTCTCAAAGCTGTTGCCTGGTGCCAGTGGAAGTCTTTATTTTACCAGGCATTTTAGTTTTTCGATTTGTCTTTTAGAGACTGCATTTTAAATCTTTGCACTCCTGCTGGGTACCATTTGCTTAATATCTGCTTACTTATGCATTTGATATAATTATTTATTAGATATAAAAGGAACGTTTCTTCCTTACACGAACTCAAGGTGGCTTACATCATTCTCTGCCTTCTGATTGCAGTCTTATCCCCACAACAACAACCCTGTGAAGTAGGATGGACTGAGAGTCTGTGACTGACCCAGAGTCAACCACTTGGCTCCATGGCTGAACCCAGATCTCCAGCGTTCCAGTCCCATGCTCTTAACCACCACACCACACTGGCTTTTTACAGTGTGGATTAAAAGGTTTACTTTGCACTTTAGGGTTTCAATTGTTGTGAGCCTGCCCAAGAGCAGCCATTTACTGGAATGTTGTAATAATAGTGTAACAACCTTTCATTCTCATCATGTTCCTAGCATTCTGCCTACCTTTCATGAGGGAAGGCAGCGTTCCAATTCTCTTGGTGCAGTGTCCTGTTTTTTCCTGCCCATCTGCAGTGTAAAGAAACAGCCTTGGGTGGCAGAGAGGCAGGGGGCTAAAGGCAACGGGAAAGGGCTGGGGGGCAGAGCTGGGTGCTCTATGGCCTGCTGGCCTCGGCTGGGGTTGTGGCATGCAACTTTTCAAAATTGTTATGGCCTTGCCTTGCCCATCTGCCTGAGGCCTGCTCACAGAGGTTGGTGCAAGGCATGCCTCAAGGTGTGTCTGACGGAGTCTGTCCGTGAAGTGCTTGCCTGTGCCCCACTATACATTTTTTTCCTTATTGGAAATATTTAGCTTTGTTCTTCAGCCAAAAGAGCGGCTCACATAAAATCAGTTAAACAAGACAACTGCTGTGCACAAGTCTGGACTCCTAAAACAGAAATAAATCATGACACTACATACAAGAAAATGAATGGGGCAGGAAGAAGGAGGAAATTAATTATTTCAGCTGGCTGGGAAATGGCTGTTCTTCCTCTCTTGTCTTCCTCAGTGCTGCCTGGTGGAATGGCCGCTGGTGGTGATGGCTGAGGGAGAAGGCCCACTCACAAGGGAGGTCTTCAGCAGGGCTGGAAGATGGCTGCAGTCTCCTTCCCATCTCTCACATGTAGGACCTTTGCATATTTCCCCACTGGCAACTGGTCTGGTGACAAAATGATAGTAGCTGGAAACTTCTAAATGAGATCATATTCAAACACACATAAGCAGCCCTTCGCCATGCCTGCTTCCAATGCTCCCCTTTTAAACCTCAAACAGGGTGGTGCAGCTGTTGCTTTGCTAAGAGTTTATGATGCTTTGATGCACTTGTTGCAACCTGCTGCAACTGCCTGTGAACTGTTGCTAGTTGCGACAGCTAATTTTGCTGTAGCTGAAGTCAAGTTTTATTTGGTATAGAAATAGTATTGGTACTGTCTGTTTCTTAGTGAATGTGTTAGGAGCTTGGCTACTGGCAGAAACTTATTTTGGGAGATGTGTTGCCATCAAGCACCGTGGATATAACCTGTTACTTGGAAAGGTCCATAACTCAGTGATTGACGCATGTGTGCCATGCACGTAGGTTTCAAGTTCAGTCCTGATATTTTAAATCAAAAAGTCACTCAGATAGCAGGGCTGGAAAATATCTGCAATTAGGCAAGTTACTTAGAAGAAATGCCAGCCATCAGGGTAAATCAGGAAGACTGGGTGTCTTTCAGCCTGAGGGCTGAATTCTGGATTGTGCATTTCAATCACAGGCAAGGCCAAAGGCAAAATACCAAAAATGCCACAGGTTGTCACTAAGGAAGCCTCAGGAGTGGAATTTCAAGCATTTAGAAGCGGGTGGAGATGGGAAACTGCATGAAAGTCAGGGAATTATTGGTTGGCCAGAGGCCTTTGGGTAAGAGGGAAGAATGTGTAGCTGTCTGGAAACGGAAAGGCCACTTGATTTGCTTTTGGTCCCCAGCACTGAAGTTCAGTGCCTTACTTTAACCAACTAGATGGGACACATATTTAACTCTGTATTTCATGTATTTTGCTGCTCATTGCTCCACTTTTCTTCCAAGGCTTGCAACACTCAGTGATTCAGTTAATTGCAAATGTTCAGAAAGAAGAATCAAGGGTAACTGTAGCAGCCAGCAGTCGACATGGGAATGAGTCCATTCATTGCCTAGCATCCACTGAGGGAGGGGGGGATGCAGAAAAGAAATATCGTAGTCATGGAAGTTCCTTCTTTTTGTTCATGTGCTAAATTGGGAGGTAGAGGAGAGAAGCCTCTAAACATTTGAGCCAGTCCAAAGAAATCCAAACAGGATGTGAAGGTGGCCATATAGTTGGAAGGGGCAGTAAGTTGTAATCAAAGAAAAGTCTTATCAGCCTCAGCCAATATGGCCAATGATAATGAGTTATGGGTGTTGTAGTTCGAAGCATCTGAGGTCTGCTCCTGGAGTGATAGCCCTGATCTAAATGGACCAAGGAGCTCACTCAGTATAACTCACCATCAATGTTCCCAGGAATGTTCTGTGATTTCTTGCATTACTTTGAAGCAAACAAGCTCAGCTTAAGATAATAGGGAAAGGAAAGTCTGCACGTTGCCTAGCAACCACTTATGCCATCTGGCCAAGCTGGCTCTCTTTTGGCTTAATGGAGCTTATGAACAGTTGGTGCCATAACAAACTCTGGCCTTCCCAATGAATAGTGAAGAGAACATCTCTGCAGAGATTAAATATTAAAACCTCAGAGAGAATGCTGGAATTTTTTTTTTTTTTAATTCAAACCCTCGCAGTTCCATGAAATGGAAAACCTGCTGTGGATTTTTGACCATCTGGTTAATTGAACTCTGACATGAGACTTACCTGATGGTAAGTTACAGAAGTACCACCTCTGAATCTATGTAAGTCCAAAGCTGAATAGCATATGGAGATAATCCTGGAAACCTCACAGAGAGTCATCCAGAGAAAAAGTGGGAGAAATTTAAAAACAGTAGCAGCAAACTTTCTGCTGTAGTGTTTGTTGCTTGTCAGCAAGATTTAGTAATGATTAATGGGGATGCAGAATTTGTTGGGAAGCATCACAAAGTTCAAATTGGAGGCTGAGAATTTCATAGAAATTTAACTCAGAACAAGATTTGGAAAGCCTGGGGCATACTTGGCTCAGCTGTGCTTATTAGCAGTGACAGCCAGAAGCAAAGATACCACGGTATTAAATTAAGAAGAAAAGTAGGACATCATGTTATTCATTTCCAATACTGAAAAAAGTGAGATGTCTTGAGACTTGGTATTTGCTTTCATTATTAGAGGGATGCTCTTAATTAAGAAGACAATCAGAAATGATCAATTTAATTTGTGTTCAGACTTTTTGTTCCAGAGCAGATGAAAACTAAAAGACATGAGCTGGAAGTTCATTCAAGGAAATAATTATATGAAAATAATTTAAAAAGTAAGACTGTGGAATTTCTTTGTAATTATGAGCTGAGACCCAAAAGGATATCCTAATCCAATTGCATATGTGCATGGTGTCCTTATGGTGCCCTAAAACTCAGTATTGTGTACACAGACTTCTCAGAGTTGCAGACAGGTTTTTCCCAGTTGCAATATGGATATGCCAGAAATTAAACTTGATAACTTTTGCAAGTACTGAGGTACCTTGACCCTCACTTAAAGCAAGAGCTATGGTGGCAGAGCACACTTTGCATTTTGAAGGTTGTAGTTTTCATCCTTGGTACCTCTGTGCAGTGCTGGGTAAGACTCCTCTCTGAGACCTGAGCAAACTACTCCCTGTCAGTGTAGGAAATACTGAACTTGATGGACCAATGGCCTGACTTGCTATAATTTAATACAGCATGGCAGCTTGCCATGTCCAAAAGAGGTTAATATTACTTGCATCATCTTGGAAAAGAAGATTGAGTCCACTCCCACAATCTCTTAAGACAGTTATGGTCAGTTTCTGCACGTACAGCTTCTGCTGTGAGATTAGAAAAGAGGGTATGCATGGAGGAAGAATTCTTAGCATACATGGTTCCTATTAGTTTGGGTTTTTCCTGCAGAAGTGTGCTCCTACATTGGTTGCACCCCAAACTGAAGATAAGAACATAAGAAGTTTGTACAGAATTCTGTGTTGGATTTCCGTTGCCGTGTATGTCATTGCTTTGCTGAAATCACACCATCTTGAATGTAGTTCCTATGTTGTTGAGTCCACAGTCTCCAACTGAATTGACTTAAAGGCATTTCCAAAATCACCCACAAGGGACATGGATACTCCTAAATAGCTGTAAGGAAGCTTGAGTATTTAACCCCATCAGCTCCTGCAGTGTAAATACTGTTGAGCAGTCTTTCACCTGTATGTGTAAAATATAAGGTACCCAGGAGTCCTCTTCTACAGGGACAGTCATCTCCTTGAAGGCATCCTTTATTGGAAGGGCTGTCCTATCTAATTCCAGCTTATGGAGAGGAGCCATTGTGGATAACAGTGCTTAACAGTGAGCACCTGGACAGAAGACTGAACAGGTACACACAGGCCACCTAGGTCACTGTTTTATACCATGGTGAAACATATTTCTGTTAAAATTGTGTTAAAATTGTGATAATCATTTATCTGTTTGCATCTACACACATGATTTAGCATATTAAAAGTTTAAGCAAAACACTGTTGTCTTTTGTCCTCTTTTTGGCAATGTGTAAGTAGGCAGCTTAATAAAATGTCTTACAATATCATGGAAACTGAGGATTTGAACTGGCAGTCTAGTTAGGCTTAGATTTCCAACATGTGAAAATACCAATTTTGACTACTTTCTTTTAACAGAGTCCATGTGTGAAATATATATTACTGTTTCTTTACAAAGAAGAACACGTAATATTCAATTGCTATTGAAATGATATATTAGGATTTCAGTGCAATATATTCTTTGTAATAGCATTACATAAACCAAATAAGCAGTACACATTTGCTTTTTCTCTCCCCAACACTTCTAAACTCCCAGACAGGCAAATAAAACTTTGAATTCTGAACATTATGGAAACTGTATGTTATACAAACAGAATAATGAAATCAACAGCAGAATACATCTAAGATTTGGATGCCAGCTCACAGTGAAATAATACTGTTTTTTTAGGACTGAATAGCTTTATAGCTATTGAAAAGTTGGGTTTTTAAATTAAGCACATACAGTAATAGATAGTTTATAAATTTTTCTCTGGATCTGAGGTTCCTGATGTGCAGCACATTGGGCCTCCATGTCACGAAGGAAATGCTTACATATTTCTAGATAAATGCTGAAGTGGACATTACGGTTATGAAAGTGCTTATATTCACTTTTCCCTGTGTAATAGCTAAAGGAAGAACTTACAGCGATCTCCTACAGAAAGATACACAAACTCTGCTGTACTTACAGCACACAAGTCTCATTCTGGAAGATACGTCTGTACCCAAGAGACCAGCTTCAGACCACATGGGGCTATTTCTCAGGAGTATTTCTTGTTATTAAAAAGTACAAAAAGTGATGATCACACACTAAACATTATTAAATACCTTTTGCAAATTAATCTCAAGAATATTCAAGCACAGGCTTGTGAACCTTGCTGGGGATCTTGTTTCTGCCAAAACAGAAATGTCTCAGTCCTTCCTACCAAAACCTAAAATAGTGCTCCAGTGTAGATGGCATATAACTTTTGAATTTCAGAATGGAAGCCACAAGATCCAATTGTTTGCTCATCCATTTTCATCACTTTACTACAACAGCCAACCAGATAAAGCCTAACATTGTTCTGCTGATCTTATTCTGGCCACAGAGATGCATGAAAGAAAGGTACAAGTGGAGCCAAAGTTCCCTGAAATAGTCATTATCAGAGAAAATTCCAGGAGAATTACCATTAATCCAGTTGGGTCTTACCATAATAAACCTCTGCAAAAAAAGTGGAGTACACAGTACATACAGTCACCTGTCTCCATCTCAAGATAGGACTATCACCCACTTCACAAACAAACAAATAGGACTATCACCTACTTCACACTGACAATCGTAGGTCTATCTAAGTGTAGTTCTTCAAAACTCTAGCAAATATTTTCACTTCAAACTGAGGGGAAGACTGATGGATCACACAGGAGAATCTTGCTGCTTTACTAATTGCAATGGGAAAACATTTATCATTCAAATATTTGTTTTAGAAGCACACCTTGAAATAGCACCCTTTGGAATATATCAGAGACAGAAGTCAAAATATTTGCAAAAGGACTTTTTTATTATGAAGGTACTGTGTATATAGGATTCTTTAAATATTGGAGGCATTCCTTTTTTTTCTATGGAAGTGTTCAGGATCATATCAGAGTTGGACAATGTCCTGTTAATTTGCAGGGCATGATAGAGGCTGAACTCCTTTTATCTCCAAGGCTTTGCTGAAGTTAATCTCTAGAGGTTTAAAAGTCCCTTTGGTGAGCTTCATGGATCTAATACATCCTTTGAAACGGATGTTAATGGTCAGACCAAATTGACTGAGTCCATCTGTGAGGAAAAGAAAAAAAAAAGTAATAACTACAGATAGTGGGGGGGGGGGTTTGGGGTTTTTTTTTTTTTTTTGGCCTATTGAAAAGAGTGCAAACCTTTCCTATACATCTTTATTCACACATGTATGAAAAGTCATATATACACTTGTGCACCCAGTGGACTTGGAAGTAGTGGGGATTTTTTACATGAAAGATTGTACATCCTTCCCTGATAAAGTGTACAACCCTTGAAAAGTTTACCGTGTTTCCCCGAAAATAAGACTTATCCCAAAAATAAGACCTAGTAGTATTTTTGGTACTTGCTAAAATATAAGACCTACCCTGAAAATAAGACCTAGCTGTGTTTATTCCCAGGGCTAGTGGGGAACATAAAGAGTCTTTCTAAACTTTATTTTTTAACTTAACTTTAACTTAATGCACTGTGTGGAGGAAACATGCTTATGCGGCTCTTCTCTCTCCACACAGAGCTGCCTAAGCTGATGCTTTCTCTATAGCGCCAGCTTCTGTCACAGGCGGCGTGAAACCAAATATACCAATGTACATGTATTCATGATGTTGTTCATGAATAAGTGTGGATTGTTGTACACATTAAAAAATAAAAAATAAGACCTAGTGTGTTTTTGTGAGCCAAAAAAAATATAAGACAGTGTCATATTTTCAGGGAAACGGTAGTTTTATCACAAAGTTAACAGAAAATGATTGACTTGTACCCCAAACTCCCTAGCTTAAGACCAGAAGACTATTCTTACTGGCAAAGGAAGAAGAGACAGAGATTCTCCAGTTAGGAAATGGAGAAAAAACTCCTCAAGAAGTGGCCTTCAGAGGAATGTACCCAACATGGGAACTTTGAAAGGCTAAACAAGGAACAGAGTTATCAGAATGGGTAGATTTAACTTTCAGGGGAAGTGCACTTCTGGGCTATGCTTCTACTTCTCTTTGGACATACAATGGAGCAGTCACCTTAGCCAGGATGATAAAAACAGTGATGGGGCAACCAACTAGTTGGTTAAGTGGTTCTTGCAAGGGTATTGAATGCAATAAAAAGTGGATTTGGAACACTGAGGTCTTGAGCAGTATCTCTTCATGGATCCTGACTATTGCTAGGAAAATAACAAACATGGAAGGTAATTTAACAGGAAGAGGCAAGCAAGAAAAAGCAGCGAAATATAGATTTTCATTCACATAAGAACCTCCAACATGTCCTCAAAGTTGGCTAGGCTTTTAGCTAGTCAGTTTCAAAAAGCAAACCTTAATGGCCACCATGAACCAGTCTTTGTCTTGTCCATGATTGTGGAGATCCACAACCCCATGCATACAGCTATGGTCACAAGGTGGAAGACTTTGCCTTTCAATGTGGGTGGGTAGACCTACCAAAATGGCAGTGGATGAATACAGTAATGGGTACTTTACAGGGTATGATGCTCTATCTGGGCATATAAGGTAGCAAAGTTGTGCAAGCAAGAAGAGAATATTGGCCCCAGGAGCACAGATCTTTGTAGAAAAAAAATGCAGACCTTTGGATACCTGTTGGTTGGTGGATCGGGCTTCGGAGAGGGTGAATTGAACCTTGTCCTGAATGGGGTTGCACTCCCTCTTAGGGACAAGGTCCGCAGCTTGGGAGTGCTCCTCGACCCAGAGCTTTCACTGGAAGCTCAGGTAACAGCAGTGGCGAGGAGCGCTTTCCTCCAGCTTTGGCTAATTCATCAGCTGCGCCCCTATCTGGAGAATGACTGCCTTGCGACAGTGACACATGGTGACTTCCCATTTGGACTTCTGTAACGCGCTCTACGTGGGGCTACCCTTGAAGACGGTCCGGATACTTCAATTGGTCCAAAATAGAGCTGCCAGGCTGCTGACGGGGACTGGACGTTATGTTCACATGACTCCAGTTCTCCGTCAGCTTCACTGGCTTCCCATTGAAGTCCGGGCCCAATTCAAGGTGTTGGTTATGACCTATAAAGCCCTAAACGGCTTGGGTCCTGGTTACCTGAAGGAGCGCTTACGTCCTTATATGCCCAGCCGCCCCCTGAGATCGGCGGGAGAGGCCCTTCTCCGGGAGCCCTCCATGGAAGAAGTTAGGAGGGTGGTTACTCGGAGGAGGGTTTTCTCAGCGGTGGCGCCTAAGTTATGGAATGCGCTCCCCAGAGAGGTCCGCCTGGCGCCGTCGTTATTTGTTTTTCGGCGCCAGGCGAAGACCTTTTTATTTAAGCAGTATTTTAAATGTTAATATTATTGAATTTTATTTGGCCAGGGCGGCTTGTTTTATAGTGTATGTTTTATATTATATATTTGTATTTTATTGTATATATTTTAAAATGTTATTTTAATTTTTTGTTGTAAGCCGCCCCGAGGCTTCGGCGAATGGGGCGGCATAAAAATGTTTTAATAAATAAATAAATACATACATACATACATACATACATACCTAATTGGTATACTCACCAGGATATCCTCCAACAAAGACAGGATCATTAGTCTCTGCTGAAGTGGAAGCTGCATTTGGACTGATACCTTCTACATGGTGGCCATCCACTGTCAGCAATGCACGATGCTTTATCTTGTGTGCGATAACCTTATGCCACTGTCCATCACACAAGCTACCTGGCAGAGCAGGTTCATAGATGGCAGAGAATCGACCAGCACCATTATTGACATGGAACATAACCTGGAAAGCAAATTACAGCAACAATTAGGAAATCCAATTAGCTATAAAAGCAACAACAACAAAAACATAATCTGCTAATTGCAAGCCTGAATGCTGTGCTTTCAAATCTGGTCTGCCTTAAAGCTTTTTGTAGATATGCAAGGTATGAGGCAGAGACTAATATGGCACTCTTATGATACCGCTTGTCCTACTTTAAAGGCAGGAGTGGCTTAGTTTTCCTCTTCAGTGAAAGCAGTGATTAAATACTTAATCAACATAAATGCATGAAATCATGCTGTACTCAAAGATTAATTAATTAAAATTGAAATTAATTTGTAGCCTTAGGACCAATATTGGCAGAAAAGCTCAAAATTATGGATGTGCTGCTTGCCAGTTTACTGCTGCCAAACTCTAAAACAGATAATAGACAGAAAATAGTGCTTCAGCAATGGGTCTGGTAATTACAATGTATGCACACACTTGACTAACTTGAAAAATGTTTAATAATCTACTAAGTGAATGGTAATGTATGGAACAAAGCAAATGTCTTCATACAATATCTTTTGGAAAATATCTCATCAGAATCAAGAGAAGATTTTGAAAAGGCAAACAGACGTTCTATTACAATGTATTTTGGCAATCCATTCCTACAAAAATGGCTTAGATACTAAAACGATAGCCTAATTCTGAAAGTGGAAGAATGCGGCCTGGCTCTTTTTTGTAAGTGAAGGTAGCCTCATTCATAAGTAACACTGCCAGGCTGAATTCTAGCTTTTTCTAGCTGGTTTCAAGTCCTAACACAAAGACATGACTGGCTTTCTATGGCAAAATCTATGTAAAGTGGTTGAGAAGCAAAACACAATCAGATACAGTTCAGATGTTGCACACTCACATTTTCATCCACCAATTCAATGCCAAGTCCATCTGTTTTTTGGCTGCTGATCCCCAAAAGAACACCATTTTTCTGTGTTGTACGGAACTCAAATTCCACTAGCAGTTCTAACCCCACCTTATAGGCTCCAACTGAGAAGGAAGGAAGAAAGACAGGATAAAATCCAGACCATGAAGACCAGTGTTATTTTTCTACATTATACACAGAATCATACAATATTGTTCATAATGGCATTATTGCCAACATTGCATGGTTATATAAAAGACACAGTTGGCCTTACCTAAAAAGCAATATTATGCAAGTACACTATATTTCTTAAGAGTTCTTTTCTTGGGCAAGCAGGACAGAAAAGTCCAAGGACTATATGCAAAATTCACTCCACCGCAGCAAAAACAATGCCTTTCATGGAAAAGCATTGCCTATGCCTATCCTATTATGCTAGACAAGATTGTCTCCTCTTTTTGGTCTCTCTTCTGTGGAACTGTTAAAGGCATGGAAACTCTGTTCAGTATTCAGACTGGCCATGTTGCCGGCACTTGAGGTTTTGCGCATGTGCCGTGGCATTCTTCATGAAGGACCAGCTCTGTACTGACATTTGCAGTCATGGTAGTCAAGCGGAAAGGCTGGTTTGTACTGACAACCTATGTTAAACCTAAGGTAGCAGCATGTGGTATATATTTGGCAAACATCCTCCATTAGCTCTGCTAAGGGTAATTGCAATTCTGGAACCTGCAGCCAAAGAAATGCAGGTAATTGATATGGAGATGGGCATAGAATGGGATGGGCTTGATGGAGAGGCTCCAAGTCAGCTTTTCCTGACTTGCTACCCTCCAGATGTTTTGGGCTTCACTTCCCATCAACCCCAGCCACTATGGCCAAGGGTCAGGGACAATGGGATGGTAGACCCAAACATCTGGAAGGCACCTGGAAGGGAATACTGCAAGTTATTGAATTATGAAAGCACAGATCATGTGTGTATGTGGAAGCAAGTATCTGTACTATGTACGACTGAATAAGCTTCAAGGTCTGCTGAAGGGCAACCAAGGCAAAGCACACCACTGGGAACTGTAGGCCTGATTCCTAAGCTACTTTGTCATTCATCCATGTGGGAGCATGAATGACTGGCAACATGCCCACCATCACCAACTCCTGAATTCCACTCTGTTCCCAAGGGTTTTCCCAACCCTAAGGGCAATCCTGGGTGTCAGAAGAGAAGCAAGGGGGGTGGGGGCAGGCAGGAAAACCTTGTTCCATGAAAGTGACTTCTCTGCCATTTACAGAAGCATCACCAGGTTTCTAGGATGTGCTCAGAGGGAGGAGGCCTGTGTGACACCCAGACAGCTGCTGCTGGTCCGTGTTGACCGTAAGACTAGATAGCTGCCTACTAGAATAAAATAGGTCCATTAAAAAGTAAATACAGATTTGAGATATCTGCAGTTACAATCTACAGTTAAAAGCAGAAAAGAGTCTTATTTTTTCATGTTGGAACCTTAAAAAAAAGAAACCATGTTCACAATCATGTGCAAAACCTTGTCATCATCCATTCTTATTAAACAAATTCAACTTCCACATGGCTGTCACAGGAAACAACCCCAGTGACTCAACAGTGGGTTCTTTCTTTCCTCTTTTTCTTTTTACTTTCTTTATTCTCTGACATGTTCGCACCTGCCTTGGCAACTGCCTACTTAGGAGGCGCAATCATGATTTCTAAAGAAAATTTAGACAATCTCCTGACACTCAGTTTAAAAATAATATGTTGCACAACAATACCTGCTTTGACAAACCCCGTTCCTTCAAAGTATGTCCCTTTCTCTGCATTGGCAAAGCATTTTCCAACTTTATAGCTGGAGGTAGGATTATCCAGATCAACAGGAGACTCTGTGATTTGAAAGTGTCGTATGCAGCCATCAATGCTATAAACAACCTGAATAAGTTTGGAAAATAGGGTGTTAGTATGCACTGGCATCTAAAAAGCTTTCATGCCATGAATGGAAGACTCAAATATGGCATCAGGGAGAATTTGGCATTTGACATTTGGTTTTGGCATGTTGAAATGAACAAGCTTCTTCACATGACCATTTTAACAAATATTTGTTAAATAATAAATTTATTTATTTATTATTTAAATAAATTTGCTATTTGACAAATAGCAAATATTTGTGCCATTAACAACTGAAGAATTATGTTGCTTAGTGGAAATTCTAAGGAGCATATCACATAAAATCAAAGTAATTCAGCATGTAAATAGTAGCTGAGGCAGTTGATCCAGCATGCAAAACAGGATGGGTGAGCAAAGAGAAGTCAGCCTTTCACAGTTGCTACCCCCCGCCCCCCGCCCCCCACCCAGAGTACTTGGTGCAGAATCAAGGTAGGTTAGAAGACCATGCAGGAAACTTTGGCCTTAGTATACAGGGATTATATCACTCTCTCTAGGCTTCCTGTCTAATCTAGGATCTATGCATCTTGTGTAGTGCCAATGGGACAGACTGGAGGGTCTGCTGGGTACTCTGCAACCCACCAGTCTCCCTACCTGACTGAGGCTGCCTCAGTTGCAATACTGAGGTCCCCTGGGCTGTTGGCCTTGGAAGAAATTAACAGCTATACTGAGGGCACCCTATCTTGGGTGGCTCAGGATTTAATGACCCCTGTGACAACCCTGGGACTGTCACAACATGTCATTTGGAATAGGGGTGGTGATTTGAAGGTGGGGATTTTGAATTGGGCCCTTTGTCAAGCTCAGATCACAGTCGGCTGTGGAAGAACAGTCTCCAGAGGTGAGGTCTATTAAAATGGGCCACCCCAGAGGTTTACAGTTTCCAAAGGGCCTTGGGGATTTTGTGGATGATACAGCTGGCCCTCCTGCTGAATTCCTGTTCTAGTTTCTAGTTGATACAGATGACCTGGATGGTTGCTTGTACAGCTCTGTGTTACACTGTAGACCCAAGAGTGATGGATTGAAGCAGGAGACAGCTTGAGTGCAAATGGAACCAACTCTGCTGCCTAACTGGTCAAGTCTATCGTGTTATCCAACAGGTTAAGACTATCCTCTTCAGCAAAGCTTCAATACTTTGTGGTGGCATATCAGCTGTTGGACAGGTCTTACTGTTTAAATTCGTGTTAGGTATTGCAGTTTAAATATGGCCTTAAATATTGTATATGGCTTTTTGATTTTGTAACAAATGTTTTAATAATATTTTTGTGTTTATGTATACTGCAATTCTATGTGCTGCTGTAAAGTGCCCAGAGAGTTTTCACCATTCAGTGGTATAGAAATAAAATGAACAAAACACGACAGAACTGAGCACTGTCTCGCATAGAAGTATTTTCATCATTGTGAAAGGGAACATGTGCATTTACTCTTATACTCATTTGTACATATTTTGGGCCAGACACCAGCCATGTTAAGAAACCATTCAGCTTGTCAGGCAGCTGACTTTTGTTCTTCCTATCCTGGGGAAAGAGATCTACATTGCCTATGTTCCGCTAGCTGATAAATATACCTTTCCATGACATGGTCCAGAACCAAATGGCTCCAAGCCTGGTTCCTAAGAGATTTTGTTTGAGTACTCAGTATGAATACTGGGTAGAAAATGCACAGGAATTTTAGTAGGCATATTGTGAATGGAACACTTCTGATTTGGCATGCTGTGGGCATATTTTGCACTTGAAACCCAAGTAAAAAATAGGTCTGGATCCAAATTTATACTGGATTAATTGTGCTGACAGAAGTGGACTTTCCTGCTCCTTCCATCCTGTAACAGTCCTTCCAGAGCTACTCAGTGGGTGGGTTTGCAAGTACTTTGTAGCACCCATGGGCTGTCAGGAATCAGTAGGCAAAAGTGGGTTTATTGCTTGCAGCACTTCCCCCCACACCAGTGGCTGGTTTGTAGGTTGTTGAATGAGAAATCCAAACATGGTTGGGAGCTAAAAACCCAGTGCATTGTTGCTAGGTTAACACTGAATTTTTAAGGCCCTACCTAATCTAGAGGCCCAGGTTTGCATGTCAGAAGCAGCAAAATATGACGGAGCTGATCATATGATGGGTTGCTGAGTAAAAGTCAAAGTGGCAGGCATGCCCCAAGCAGAGTGATAGTGCAGTCATTCTGGGCTGCAGTCGGAACTTTAAAGGAGCCTGACCCCAGAATGTGCTCAGCACCACAGAGAATTCCTGAAAAGTTCAGTCCACAAATTGGAATGGACAAATCTCCCTGGTGAGGAGCCACCAGATTCCACTGGTTACGCACAGCTCCTGGCAGGCTCAGAAAGCACAGGCCTTCAGTAGAGTTTCTCTTAGGTGACTGCATGTTAGCTTGATGTACAGTTCTGCAAGCTAACCTGCAGGCTGTAGGGTTTTTCTGCCATACACAGGGAGTGCAGGGTCCCCCAGCTGGATCAGGGCACAAGCAGGGTTTTTGGACAGGGGCTCCAACACTTTCCACTGATCAGGTCTGGTCCAGATTGCTACCCTCCATGCCTGCAGTTTGCATTACTAAAACTGTCCCATTTGTTTCTATCAGATTTGTTTTGGACATTACAGGCACAGGGCCCCCAGCTCAGATCAGAACCACAGTGGGTGAGGTAAAGGGTTAAAGTACCTCCCATGCTGGGTTCCCAATACAGACTGAGTGCACCGTAATGCTAATGGGTGGAGAGAAACTTGGATGTGAGGCCAGAACTATGTAGCTAAGGTAAGTCGAAGTTTGTTCCTCAGTCCAAGGAAAGAGAGAGAGATGGCTGTGCAGTGTTCAGAAGGCAGTGCACAATGGGAGTTGTGGTGGGCACAGCCTGATTCTTCATAAAGTCACTATGATGTCGAGGCCTCCAAATGGCAGTGCAGTCACCCTTTTTCTAGGAACTCTCTTGGTCCTACTTCTTGGGCAGGTGGATACATGCTGTATGGCTAGAAAGAGCCAAACTTTGCTCTTAATGATTGCTCAGAAGGATGCTTACTTGGGCCAAGAAAAACTAGAAACAGTAAATTCTCTAAGGCCAGATACCCAGATATTTTTGTAGCATCTGGAAGAGATTGTCAATGTTCCTTTTCTCCAAATATTCAAACCATTGCATGCTTCTGTTTTCTTCGAAATAAATCATTTTGAGTTGTTACATAAGGAAAATTCATGGTTCTTACATAAGTTGAAATTGTTAGTAAGCTATGCACCCTGAAGCATTTCTACTAGGGAAACTATTCACAGTTCTGGGTGCATAGGTTGAAGCAGATCTGGGCATGATGCTCAGAGTTAAGAAACAGTGTTTCAGTTTAACACAAATCTAGATGGCTAGTTTGTTTGGTGGTAATTGGGCATCACTTTCTGCCTGGGGCTAAATATTTGGAAGGGTACTAGTCATAATTTCAATGAGAATGCAGTGTCACATTTTAAAACCAATTACCTATGCTCCCTTCTACTTCAGTGTAAAACTTTGTCTGAGCTGTCCTTGCCTGAAGCAGAACAGTGACTTTACTACCCCAGTCTTCATGAAAAAATATTTTCAGATAAATGACTTGAAAAAAAGAAGTTTCTGCATGGGAAGCATTTGGGGTTGGATCCAGGATTTGCCTTCTATTGACAGGAAGGCTCCACTCACAAGCACCACCTGATATTTGGGGAACCTCTCTGCTCTCCACAGCTCACACAATTCAGCAGGGTACCTTGACCATACATATTACGTTCAGAAGGCTTGAAGGGCTGCCATGGGGAGAAGAGGCAGTTTGCCAGCACAATTTAGGCTCAAATATCTGAATACAGCCCTAGTAATACAAGCAATGAAAGAACAGTCTTTTAATTAAACTTGAAAAGGATCTGTTTCATGGACTCCCAAGAGTAGCCTTGGAGGAAGCAACTTTTCTCCATTGTTGATGTGCATCCATGTGGGTTCCAATTAGTTGAAAGGCCTGCCCGCCATGAATCGTCCTTTTAAAGTTACTTATGTTAGTGGGCATCATGACATTTTGTGTCAGGGAATACCACCCACCCACCCACACGAACACATGCACACACAAAGAGTGACAGGAAGCTATAATGATCTTCTATAGCAAAAGCACCATGACACACAATATCATGCATTCCCAGGTCACAGATGAGCTATCTTCATTCTCACTTGTGCCATCATCACCTGAATTGGTGCCCACAATGACTGTTCTGCATGCACACACACGCGCGCATGCAGGCACGCACACCCCATGCTTAAACAAAGGCTGAGTTCTTGCATGACTGGAGCATTTTGGGAGCTGTTTCCAGATGGCAGGTTCCCATACCTCTTTGTAATAACTGTGAAGAGGAAACTCTTGGACCGCCAGAATGATGTGTTTGGCTTCCCTGCCAGCATTGCTGGCCTCTGCAGATGGCCAGCGTCAGCATGGAAAACAACCAAGTTGCTCAGTCTCAAAAGGGAGGTTAAGAACCAGATGCAAAAAACGGTACTGTGCAAACCTCAAGCCTTTTCAAGGACAATGAGAACAAAATGCTTATCTGTATCTTTCACAGATATACCATGTACATGCACAGCAGTGTTTTCTAAGACATAATGGGATTTTAAAACACAAAAGTAGATTTTCCTTCCTCACTTACTGGGCCAATTCTTTTAGTTGTATAGTTAACTGGCAGTCCTCCAACATACAGCATCCCCACAACATCTAATATATCAGCTCTCTTTGGGCTCGTGGTCCTGTTTATCGCACCATCAACTACCAGGATGCCTTCTTGCTTGCTTCGGGATATTTTAATCTGGAATAACAGAGAAAGAAGTTCAGCTCATTGCTCTTAATGTTATTGTCATTTTTATGGCATCATCATCACCAACAGGACACAAGCAATGCAATCCTACTCGGCTATCAAGTCTCATTTTGTCCACTGTGGCTTTCTCCCAAGTAAGCACATTTCTTGGGAAGAAAGCTCCACAGAAACCTTCTGCCTGTACATGCACAGAATTACACTATTAAACTGTAACGTCCCAGGGGCACAGACCTCTCTGGCTTTTGTAGATGGCATTCAGGAAAAAGGCATTTAACCTGAGAATGTTGTATTAGTGGAGAGGAGAAGTATGGAATATCGATAATGACAGATTTACTAACTCTGTTTCTTTCTCATAACTGGTGCTCACTGTAATTTCTTCAAGAGCCATGTGCTTTTAAAAAAGTATTAATGCACTAACAAACAGGACTGAAATAGGTAAGATAAACTGTAGGACAGTTGCCTCTTCTGCTCATCTTTTCTGCTACAGAAATGCTGGCATGACTGACTAATGGCACCTAATGTTCCCCACAAGCCCCTTATGTCCACGGATTTGCAGAATACACGATGCATATGAAAGATGTACTGTTAGGATGCCTAAAGTGTAGCACATGGCCTTTTCACACCTATGAAATCAAACTCTCGATGTCGGACCTACTTCCCTGGCTGCTGAAATCCCCCAAAGCTGACTGCCCAGCAGTTTCAGCAGCTAATGCAGGTCAAAGTACACACAGTGCTCTTAATAATGTACTTCAGACTGACAGACACACTGTTGAATTTGGGCTTTTTGCGTGGACTTCCAGAGACTTTCTTCTGGCATCCCTACTGAGAGGCTAGAAGAAAGCATAAGCCTGAGTCCTGGCTACTTGGAGGGTATGACATGCCAAAGGGTGGGTGGCCATGGCTGGGGAAATGGTCCTGCTGCAGTGGGAGGAGAGCACACATTAGTGGGAAAATTGCCAGCAGGTTCTTCCTTCCTGACCCAATCAGTGGCACACAGGTTGCAGGGATATCGCTGTGCATCAGCAGACCAGGAGCTTTCCCTCTAGTCTGAGCTGCAGCTACTTAAAGGAAGTTATGGTGCTCCAACCCAACAATGGATCTCAGGAAAAGGGAACAATTCTACTGTTTTGTTCCTTGAAGGGAACATAAGAAGAATTTACTGATTCTCTCAGAGGATCTATCTAACTCAGCATTTCAGTGGTGGAGAACCAGACATCCTTGGAACACTAACCAAGGTTTTGATGGAAGAATGCAGCAGTTGAAATAGAGAGGATGTTATTGTCTAAATACACCCTGCAATACAATTGCTTTGCCACACAGACAACTTCTACAGTTATCCCAATTGCAGGCCTTGCTGTTGGTTTGCACATAAACTAATCATTTATCTCACTGTCAGCCATCACTAAGTCATACCTTATGCCACTGGCCATCATTGATTTTGTTGGGAATCATCGTGCTTGTGTTCCCATGTCCCAGGTCATAACTGAAGTAAGGAAAGCCATTCTTTATCTGAACAGTGGCAAAATCAGCATGATTAATCCGGGCCATATAGAAAAGCAACCCATTTTCAGCCGTGGTTTTGATTTCAAATTCAATAGTGAGCCTATGCAGGATTCAAAAAAAAAGAAAAAAAAAAAGAACAGAAAGTCAGGAAGCATTAATCTGCTTTATCTTTCACTCTTTCTCATAAAGCTAGCATTGCTGAAGGCAAACTTATTTATAAGACATATAAAACCAAGACACCTAATATCCCATTTCTAAACTTGCCAATGTGTATGGATGTAATATTAATGCACTTACTGTACAATCTTAATTTAGGGCTAAAGTTACATACTCCTTGTGTGTGCAGAAAAATAAGAGATCAAGACGTGCTTCTCCAGCTACAGAAGGCCGTGAGTTCCCCTTAAGAGCAAACTGTCACAGCTAGACTCTGTTGGTGGGAAAGGAAAAGTCTTGGGCTGAAATTATCTCTTTCTGCCAGCTAGAGAAGAGCTGAGAGCCTGGTTGGGCCACATGTAGTCTGCAGTAGGTGTCCCAGCATTCATAGAAACATAGAACATAGAAACACAGTGAGTCAGAAGGGGTCTTTTCTTGGCCATCTAGTCTGACCTCTGGCTCCAGCTGGCTCCGCTCATCATATGCCTACCATGGGCATGCTACAGGGCTCTTATTCCTAGGCAAGTAGGCACAGGATTGCAGTTGCTGTCTTAAGTGTATAACTGAAACAGATAAAATGTGCATTTCAAATGTGAGGGTGCTACCCTATCATCCCTGCCTTGATGCAACTAAGCTTCTGAACTTGTATGCACCTGGTTTTTCTTTAGATGGCTGGTTTTGGCTGTCCAGATAAAGTGCTGGGGAAGGGGAGATGATGCTGAATCAGCATAGGTCCTCAACTCCAGCCTCCACCCCATTGCCTCCAGCATGCCCCTCTTCCCTTCCCTTCAGGGTGGATCTGTGACTTCAGGGGAGGCAGTGGCATGCTTCTTTCCACACTGACTGCTTGGGGGACAGGGCGGGGTATGGTCTTTGGAATCACAGAAATGGGACTGGAGGATCCTGGAGCTGGCAATCCAAATAATCCTAGAGCCCCTGCCCAACAATGTTGAGAGGCCACAGGCTTTTGCCCACACTGCATGTATGAGACATATGACCATTCAAAATGTTTTTATTATATAACATGTTAACTTTAAAGTGCAGTCCTGTGCACACTTAAATCCTACCAAGTTCAGTGAGGCTTACTGTCAAGTATGGGTGTCTAAGACTGCAGCCACAGTGTCTGTAGAAATAATTCCAGGAAATTAATTGAAGCAGTAGAAAAATGATCTTGTTTGCATATGACATTTGGTAAATATAAACCATCCATTCTCTCTGTTTTGGCACGTTTGTTTTATTTTTCTTCACTCTAACGATCTTATAAAAAGAATGCTAAAGAGCTATGCTAATTTTAGATAGTAGTTTCTGATCGAAAATGGAATGTTTGTTAAGTATATAATCTACCAGTTAACTGAATCCTAGAGAGGATAAGCATATTGAGTATGGTCATTTGGTGCATTACTTAGACATCTTCTTGCACAGCTCCTTGAACTGTGACTTAAAAACATATCTACAGTTCAGCATAGCAAATCAGTAGAATGAACTTCTTGACTATTCCATCTCAAAATTGGACGTACTTATTCTTAACTTTGGTGTCATCAAATGCGGCAGCAATATGGCTGTTCCTTGACAGGCCAAATTGCTTACCACCTTCCAAGGTAATTGGCTCCACGTCAGCAGCGCAATGTTCCTGCAAAACAAAATGCGATCAGAACCTTTTCTTCATTGTGCATTATCAATTTAAGGTGCAACTCTCTACAGAAGGCAATTCACATTTTGTCTGAAGAATGGAACCTTCCACAGCTCCATCTTGGTGTGCGGCAGAGTTGACTTCCGTGACAAAGGAAAAGCATCTGACCTAGAACATTAGGCAGAACCTAACAGGCCACTTACTCTCTGCCACTTCTCTTGTGCCCTGACAATTCCTTTGCACAAGCAGCCCCCACCACTTCTGCAAGGGCAATTTAGCATTCCCAAGGCAACCTGAAACAGTTGGAAATGCACTTGTGGAAGGAGGGAGGTCAGCAAATCTCACATCAGGAAGTTCCAGCAACTTGCCTCCTTCCAGAAACGAGTGCTTTCACTCATGAGGGGCTTCCTTCAAGGACGGTGCTAGCTCTCCCTCACAAAAGCAGTGGATCTCCACTTAGTGGAAGTAGTGGGTCCCCGCACTGGTGAAAGGGAATCCAGGATGTGGAAAGGAAGGGCTGTAAGTGTCTGTAGTTTCTCTTTCCACCTGTTTTAAGTCATAGCAACCAAAGCAACATCCTGAGTTATAGAACTGAGGCAAACTGCGATATTTATATTGGGCTGGATCCAGGATATACTTCCTCTGGACAGGAGAGCTCCTCCAAATGAAGGTACCACTCTGAGCTTCCCTCCCACTTCATCTTGGCTCACTCCATTCAGCAAGGTTCCCTGACTGTCCATGAAGCTTTCTCAGGAGGCTGGAGGGGGTTCTATAGGGAGGGAGGAGTGGGGAAGTCTGTTTCCATCACCCTAGCTGCACATGACTGAATCTGGATCCAACTGATCCTGTTTACAAGCTAAAAGTCATTATTTCCCTACCACTGGAAAAATGAAAATTGTGTTTAGACTATCATTTTTTTTTTTTGTCAAGGACCGAGGGCTGCTGTCATAGATTTATGGGATGCTGCAAATGGCACTACCCTCCCCCAAACTTCTATGACACTCAGCTAAGTCATCTAGTGTTGCACCACTGATAAGCCTGTACCAATGTGAGGAAGGGCACACATCTTCGTGCTTGGCACAGGGAGTCATCAACAGCTAACTGCAGAACAGCATAGGATTAATTTGAAACACTAATCAGATCATGCAGAATGGATGGCAACTAAGGGGTTTCTTGGATCATCGAGGAACTCTAAAATATATCTGAAATACAACTCTCACAATTACTCTAACCATATTGCTGGATAGATGAAAAAACCTCTAGACATAGACAACACTGTGACTATAGCTTTCTTTTCATATCTGGTATAAAGACAACACAAGAAAAATGTGCATGTACTCGAGAGAAAGTGGGAGAGGAAAAGTGCAAGCAAAAGAAAGGGGAGAGGGAACTTGACAATGTACTCCAATGCACTGAAAGAATTCAAATATTTTTCATATAATGGCACTCTAGTTTCAGGCCTAAATCAATGGCATACACTAAAGACAACTGTAATTATGAATGACATCTTACACAGTTTCAGTTTCTATTGGGTATGTATTCTACGAAAAGGTTAAATTATGGAAGGGCCGTCTGGGGTCTTCCAGATGCTTTGGCCTACAACTCCCAATAACCCTAGCAAGCATTACTAATGGTGAGGGGTGAGAAGAGTTGTCAGTCAAAACATCTGCATGGTCACAAGTTGGGCTAAATGAATGATCAAAGCAGTCCCAGAACAATGATGCCACTGGGCAAGATAAATCTTGAAGTCCAAACATCTTTAAACATTTTATTTAACAGCCCTGAGTTGGCCATATCTGTTTTTGTCCGTTTCCTTCCCAATTCAGCAGAGATTTACAGAATGCAATATCTGAAATTCATTCTGTAAAGCATTTTGAAGACACCATAAGTTCCACATCACAAAACAGAAACATTATACTTTAAATGAGAATTTCCTGTCTTCTGATATTTGGGAAACATTGCTTCTTTGCAATGCAATTGCCACAGTGATCAGGAATTGGTTTTCCAACAGTTCACTGGGACAAAAATACTCTCTGGGTGAAATATAAAGCTGGCTTATTCTGAGCCAAACCATTGGCTCCTTTAGCCCAATACTGTTGACACTGGCTGGCAGCAGCTCACACATATCTCAGGCAGGATTTCTTTCTAGCCCTACCTGGGGATGCCAAGGAATGAAATTGGGAGGTTCAGCATGCAAGCCACATGCTCTATCCCTGAGCTAGGGCCTTCTTTTTAGAATGAGAGGGAGGGAGAGACAGAGAGAGACAGAGAGATACAGAGCAGAAGACTTTAAAGCACTTCCAGACATTGCATTTGTGGGTACTGGATGCTTTGGATCAAAATGTGGGTCACCTAAAACCCACACACAATGGACATTCAGAATACTGATAATGGCCATTACTGCTAGTCCAGATGAACCAGTGTGATCTTCACGGACCACTATCATGACGAGAGCAGCAGTATTCATTCTAAACACCCCAAGTGTGAAGGTACTTCTTGTTTAATATCTTTATTTTTTGGTGCTACCATGAACTAGAAGGCCAAATTGAGAGGACGTCTGGAAGAGCCTGGTTACAAATGTGTGAGAATTGTCCTTCAGCAACTGACCATTGACAAAGGAAAAGAAATCATTCCACACCACATTGGTCTGGTTCACCTAACACAGAAGCCCTCTTGCGGCTTCATCTACTCATGGGGCTGTTGCATCATGCTAGGTATTTCTGTATGACACCCAGGAGCAGCTGGCTTACCATGTCAAGCAAACCTGGCAGCAGGGTTTGTTTGAGGGATTGTTGTCTAATCCTGAAACCACTCCCTCTGCCACCTAAGTTCACACAGCATGCAAGTTGGGTGCCCACGGATGCCATGCAGCAGTGGCACCTGCCAGCCTCCAGTACAACACAACAGCCCTTCTGGGAAATCAAGCTGCGGTGGTCTGTTGAGTCATGTCGGCAGATCACTGCCTGCATCTGTTTTAATGCAGTCATATGCTTCTTTTGTATGCTTTCTCCATTGCAACCCAAAATGGGTATAGTGAGAGAAACACATTGCACTAGGTGCCATGAACCTGAAAATGAGCATGGAGTGTTTTGATGACCCTGGACTGGGAAATAAGAAATTATGGTAAATGAAACTAAAATTACATTAAATATTAAAATGGACTGACATTCTAATGAAGGAGTAGTTGAGAAGATCTGTACTTAATTAGAAAGATTCGGGGGGGGGGGGGGAGGAGAACAAATAATAATGATCATAATAGTGCTGTGATCCTGACAGAGCTCATGGCCAAGTATACCACAGAATGGCTTTAAAGGAATCTTATAATTACTGTTTTAAGCTGAAATCTTCTAGATGTGACATTCCTGTGTGACAGGAAATTGATACCTTTAGTACTTTGGTTTGAGAAAATGGGAAGTCTGCTGTCTGATTATCTCACACATTTGTCTATAAAGTTGCATTACAAGGAAAGGGCTGGTGGGGAGCCATTTAGTAATAAAAGAACGCGATAACATCACCGAAACAGCACTGCAGTTCCTCTAGCAGTGTTAAATAAAACTTGGGACAGGGCGGGGGGAGTGGAGAAAACACTGGGCGATACCGTCACAATGTCAAGGTCAGCTGAAATGTTGGCATTCTTCACTTCAGCGGCAAGCGAGTCCTGAGAAGCAGTAAACAACATCAGGCAGAGGCAGCTGTGTTGGATGATGGTCTCTTGCTCAACTTTCCTGCCTGTCTAGTGGGAAGAGCTCCTGCTGACACGATTGTTTGAAAGAGCTGCCTCACCTTTTCAAACATCTGCCCCGGTCCCCATTCAAAGTGCAAATGGAGGCCTGCTTTTGCCTGCGGTAAGCCTGCAGCACAAGTGCAGCGCAAAGCAGGAGCAAGCCAGTCAGAAGAAGAGGGGAGAGCCAGCCTCCAGCTGCCTAAATCATTTAGTACCAGGTGCATCTACAGTCAAGGCAACAGCACAGAATGAAACCAGAATGACTGTGTTTATAAGTAATATGCTGGAAAATAATTAAAAGAGGTTAGCACTACCCAGAAAATCCTTAGGGTCCAGCTGCAGCTTATATGGAATTACAGTAGTCTGACAAGGAAAAGTGTGAATATTCCCTCTTATGTTGTGTTATTTTGGCAATAAGGACATCTCTAGATCTAAACTGTGTGGTGCTTAGGAGTGGAAGATGCTCTGAACAAATGTACTATCTCTGGAAAGAAATAGACTGCCTCAACATAAAGGGAAATCTTACCCTGAACACACACACTGACTTAACCCAATGAGTACTGCCCATTGGTTCTTCTAGTGATCGTCTCTGAAGAAGAGAGGCTTATATCTGCACCCTCTGCATACACAGCAGGTATGCTGCATCCCCAAAGACGGACCCACTCCATCAGCTCAGAACCTCCCAAACTTGAAGAGAGAATCGTAACAGTAAACCAGTAAGTCCCTGCAATGACTGATCTACTGATTGATATGTTACGGTTTTGTTATATTTTTAATAGGGAGACATGCCAGGTGATAATTTTATGATTACTTGTTTGGCTATGAACTACCAATTGAATAGGCCTCTTATTATTTACCTTGAACAGCTGGTACAGTGGTTCTATCTACAGCGGCACCAGTAGTGATTTATTTAGTACACAGCTGCAAAGGAAACTCAAAAGAAAAACAATTCCTTTCACATTTTCAAGCTGGAAGGTTACAACAGTCCAGTTATATCTTGGTTTGATCTGAAATGCTCAGGCTCGGTTTGTTTGAATCAGAAACATAATTTGAACTACATATTTTTAAAAATAATTGAAAAACGGACTGACCTTATTAGTTTCCACATGTTACGATTACGCCATCTTGTGGCAATTAATAAAAAGTGCCACTTCACACACACACACAGAAATCCGTGAGGAACATTATTCTCTATAATTATGAAGCTTACTATTTGCTAGAAAGCAAACTTTATATATTTCACAATTCTTTAGGGAAACCATTTTGAGGTATACACTTAGCAAGTTACCTAGAGCGCTTCTAGAACATACACTTTATGTGTATGGTAACATGCCATGTATAACAGTACTTGATGCACCTACAGTGCTACTTAGGCCATCTATATTGACAGCACAGGTTTAATTTATTAATTTTATTAATTTATGTTTTTGTCTGATTATATATATTATGTTGCATCTTGTTTATTATAATATTTTAACTGCATTATTTCATTTAATGTTATTATTGGCACTTTTATAGTAATGGCTGCCCAGAGAGCATGATGCTAACAAGCAGCTTTTATACAAATTAAATAAATATCTGAAGTCCATGAAAAAGCCATAGAATGGGCATCTGCTAGCTCAAGACGCCTCTGATCTATTTGCACTTCCCCACTGCTGCTCCCCCACTTCAAGACCCAGCCTGTACTGTACGCAGACCCTCCAGAGGTGCTTTTGGGGGCTGCAAGGAAGAGGATAAGAAATCTGTTGGCCTTCTGCTCAGTCTTTGGACCCAACCCCTTATATGTAATCTCATGATTGTAGTAGACAAGAAGAGAGATCGGCTTGATTTTCCACTCTAGCTTCTATAGGAGTAACTGATGAATGCAGCAAACAGATGCCAAGCTTTTGTCACTGAAGACAGGGAGCAATGTTTGAAAGGGTGACACTCTGACCTATAATCAGTTCTGTCTTTTGAAAGAGGAAAAGAGAAGAGATTGAGTAATAGGATTCTAACCCCTTTCTCCCTTAGATGACAGTTTCATTCATAAGCCATTTCATTGCAAACTGAAAAATTGCTACCAGCTGATAGGTGGTGTGGGTGAAATTAAGCTAGTGAATGCCATCCATTTTATATTACACTGGTATTCACCTCACAAGCACAGCATGGCCAAAGTTACTGTCCTGTCATCAGGAAGCTTCAGCAGAAAAGTCAAAGGCAGGACTCTACTGGAAAGTGGTAATTTCTCTGAAAAAGGTAATAAAAGCCTTTAGCAAAGCTATGGGAAGCTTTGTCACCACTGTCTGCACTGAACACTGTAAATGGTGTCAGGTTTTTGATTATGGTGGACTGCAAAAAGAAGAAACAACAGAGATCTAGTCTCCTAAGAAAACACCAGAATATGAAATTCACTTTAGTATGCAATGTAAATTTATGCTTACTTTTTAAAACACCTGCATTCAGGAATGGGTTTTAAATATATAAGTCACTGCCCATCCTGAGCTTGTTTTTCCATTATTACTAATCTATGGTTGGGGCTCCTGAATCCTGCAAAGACTTTTTCACCTGGTGCCTATGCATGACTTGCTTTTGTTAATGTTGAACACTGAGAATAGGCAGAAAAGCAGACAAAAGCAACCTCTTCAGTTCTGCCTTTATAACCAGGAAGTTTTGCCCTGGCATCCCGCTTAGGATGCTGCTGATAAGGTTGATGAAATGGTCAAAGGTAATTTTATCCTGAATATGCCTCTATTTATACTTTAGCCAAAACTGGTAGCAGACACAGTGCTTGAGCTAAGCAGGAATTATGAGCAACCAAAAGATCTCACTGGTTTAGAAACAGAGCAAGCCAGAAGGGGCCTCTAGGGCCACCTAGTCTGACACCAGGCTCCAGCCAGCTCTGCTCATGACATGCCTACCATGTGCATGTCCAGTCTATCCTTGAACACCCTCACCGATGGGGCCTCAGCCTCTCTGTCTCTGAAGAGACCCTCTTTACTTTCTCCCATATAGGTGAATGGCTGTCATTCACTTTTATTGGAAAAAGTACTGGGTATAAGTACTATACCCAAGGTTTGTGTGGTGGATACTTACTTTGTATCCTCGTTATCCTGGTTATCTTAGGACTTCATGTATGTATGTGTTCACATGTGCACACGCACAACAAATCTTAATGTACAGAGACACTGTGTCCTCACACCCTGGACAAGTACTTAGTGATGTATCACAGAACATACTGGGAGTGAGATGACTTAGGGCTTGTATACAACTCTTGCACGCACTTCCAGTACCTCTATTCTGACCCAGCACTGTTGATCTAGGCTGCTTGTTCCAGTGCCACACGTATTCTGTATACAGTCGGCCAAAGCAGACCAGCTGGATGTGGTGCTCAGGCAGCTCTGCACTAGTGTGGGGAACATGTTGCATGCTCACTCTGTTTCCAGATTAAGAATATTTGGGATCCAAATCCAAAGAAACTTTATCACACTGAAATCCCATTAAAGTGAATGGGCCATGAATTAGTCACAAATAGCTTGTTCTATTGATCTGAACGGGACTTAATGTTCCCTGAATTAGGTCTTGGCATTTTTCTGAATCAGGGAGAGCATTCTGTCGTCTAGTGTATTGCCATGAAGAGGGATACCATTCAGAAGTGGGGCAGTGTTTACATAGGCAAAACATTAGGCTAGCAAATCCGAGGAACTGTAAACAGCATCGCCATACAATTATGCAGTTTCCCATATAAACACATTTAATTTAAAAATGGACACATGTTGAACTGATAGGGACTTACTGGCAAAGGAAGAAAAGAAGGCAGGGAAGCAGGAGGAGTGGGGCTTGCTTTCTTCTCATCCACGCCTGGCTCAGCTGTTGCACGGGAAGGTTCCTCCTCCTCCCGCTCTTCTTTCTCATGCAGTGGTCCTAACTCGGGACACCTGCCAATATCTGCATTTGCAAAGGACACCGGCTGGGCAAAATCCATCGGACTGAAGAGACAAAATGAAATAAGCAGCATCGCCACTTTTTCAACTTTCTTTTTCAGTTTTAGCATTCTATGTTTACCCTGAATATTTATTACTTGTAAAATGGAAGATCTCCTGCTTGAAGGCAGTATTCAAAATGGATTAAGAGCTTATAAACTGACACAAACCAAATTTAAATATAATTCTGAATTCAGTTTACAAGGCTTCCCATTTCATTCACCATCCTGGTGAAATGTTGGTATGGTGGATAGTTAGAAGGCAGAACAAGACACAGGCTCACATCCATACGGAGTCATAACATCTGCTGGGTGACTGGACTAGGCACAGTCCCTCAGCCTTATCTACCACCTGAAGGTCCAAAGGTACAGGAGAAGATCTCATGCAACTCTTCCCTGAGATCCTTGGAGAAAGAACAGGGCAGAAATGTAACCAAGAAACATTGTTGCAAGGCATTCGCTCTTTTCAAATGTTCTCCAGTTCCTCCTTCAAGACAAAGTCCCGACAAATCAGTGAGTAATGTTTCCTATAAGGAAAATCCTGACCAATTTAAGAGATAGGATATAAGGGTCAGTTCAGTTGAAAGCTATGCTGGTGAGCCACAAAGTGAGTCCCTGAGATGAAGCCATGCCACAAAATATCCCCACACTGGTGCCAGCTCCGACTCAGCCCCTAACCGTGCTGACTGAGGGAAGCTATTAAGAGTGTGGCGTTGTTTCTCTTGAGATGACACAAGAACCAATAGATGCCTTCCACTGCAGTTGCACTGGAAGGAAAAGGAGGCTGAGAGTATCTCTTTCCTATCCAAAGCGACTGTGAGGGTGAAGGGGAAGTCCTTTGACATGCGGCTGCCGTCAAGCCACATTCTTGTGCTCCAGAATGAAACAAGAACAACCCGTTCAGAATGTGAACCAGCAACACTTGAACTTGCTAACATTTTTGGGATTCCATCGCAGTGCTCATTCCAACTCAAGACTAAATCAGATTAGGACCACCATTTTTCTAATTGCATGTAAATCTGTATTTCAAGAGCATTTTTCAAATCTGCATATCAGTTGTGCACATGTTTGACATATACTGTACTTATTCTTCTTCCATTGATTAAAGCGTTCTGGAGCATTTTTCAAATGTATGCAGACTGTTGAACACATGTGGGGCTGTGATCTGCAAATCACACCACAAGACCAGAAATATTGCTCAGATTGTGCTTTAGCCTGTGTTCAGTCTAGAACAACAATTTGGTAGCTCCCTCTCTGGAACAAAGGGTGGTGGAGCCGCCTCTTCCTCCATGAAGTGATGACAGAAAAGGGAGAGATGAAAGATGCTGCTTTGGTATGTAGTCTCTACATGCAAAACCAAACCCCTTCCACCAACACTCTCTCTTGGCTGAGGGTTAGGGTTCGGGTTTCCTTGTGTTCCCCGGGGACACAGGGAAATGGAAGCCTCCCCTTTTCTTTGAAGTGATACGAATAGACTTTCTTCCCTGCTGGGTACATTTTAACTTCTGCATCCCTCTCTGTGGTCTATAATTTGGATATAAAGCTGGTTCAGGTCAGTGTCAGTGTTGAAGGTGGTAGGTAGAGAGTATGTGTGACACAGTCATCCAGGTCAGCTAATATACAAATAGAAAAATGCTTTATTTTGTCACTAGATATATCGTATTACACTATGTAATCTTACTGAAGTTGCTGGTTCTTCAGTGTGTGCCCCAATCAGCATCTGAACATGTTTATAAATGTGGAATGTATGAAATATTAATTTAAATAAATACAATTTAAATGAATACTTATATCTCATTTCTAACACTCATTTGCATATAATTAATGAACACCAGCAGATTCTGTTCAGCAGCTAACATACAGGCCTCCTATATACATTTTAAATTCTGTATATACAAATAAGTGTGTATCCTATCCAGTCTACATGTGGAGCTTCCTTAGATTCTCTCTCAGCTTTGAATGACAGCTGGTTTGGGTTGCTTGCAATGCCAGCCTTAGTTAGAGTAAACTCATTGAAATGAATAGGATTTAAATCAGACTAACATTGGATACAACCCTAAGTCAGTTTATTTGACTGTATGCTTCCTTCGCCAAAAAATTAAACATGGAGATTGGTCATGGTGTGATACCTGGAGCAAAGCATTCTGCTGGGCGAGACTGTACACTAGTCGGACATGTGTCCCTGGCACCTCATGCCATGTTATGGACAAGCATATCCCACAAATGTTTCAGGCACAGATGCAAGATAGACACGCACTTACATGGCATTGACGACCAGGTTCCATATGCATCCACTGAAGGCAGGTATGTTTCTAATTGGGACGGTGTGAAATTCAGGCGGTGTCCCTCCCACAAAAAGCTTCTTAATAGAAATAGGTTGATCTGATGGGAGTTTCTGAGATTGTCTTCTGTCCTCATCTACTTGTATAGCAAACAGCCTAAAAAAGGTCAAAAGATAATTGTTTGTTACATTTCTATACTACCCAAGAGCCAAAGCTCTGTCAGTGGTTCACAACACTTTAAAAATGTAACATACAGTATCAAAATTTAAATGTTTAAAGCTACAGTATAAATTAGAAGTAAAAACCAGTTAATCCACAGTCACCCTGATTAAGGCAGGTCTGTGCAATCGCCTTTAAGCAAAGCTGTAGCCTTGTCTGTCAGGACCTTGGCAAAAAGTGAAGCTGAGACGCTTCTGGATTCTGTCCCTCCTATTCCCCTTTTCCATCAAACTGGGAGAAGCTCAGCTTCATTTAAAGGACTACATGTGCGCTATACCAGGTGGGCCCAAACAATGTTTAAAGCTTCCTAATATGCAAATTAGTGAGCATCACTGCATGTGCCATAAAGCTGAGTAAGCTCAGGCAATAACTGCTAAGGCTAAGTAAACCCAAACAACAAACATTTATCTTGAGCAGCTTGTTTGGAACTGCCAAGGATTCTTAGTCAGTGCTTTACAAAACAAATACAACCCAAACCAGTAGGATTTTGATTATATTAGTTTCTGGATGAGCTGAAAGAAGCAGCTGGCAGATTGACAGTCTTAATACTGATATTAAGAATCAAGTTTCCTTTGCTGCTAAGTTAAGTATAATCACACACAACCCACTACAGTAAAACAGCAAGGAGACACAACACATTTGGCTCTTGATTTTCCTGGATTTTATATTCTTCATGTTGAGGAACAAAGAGGCCTCCTGAGTACTGCAGTTGCAGGAATCAATAAAGACCTCATGAGATGTGCATTGTATGCCTTCCAAAACTATGGACAACTTCAGTGGAAATAAGAACATTGGCTGCAGAACTCTCAGAGACCCTTTCCTACAGAGTTTTCCCTGAACCTCCTTCTTCAGCAATAAGAAATTGCTTTTCCAAAGGTCTAGAAGAAAAACCACTTCCATTTTGGTATTTTTCTGTGTCATCTTAACCTCAGTGAATTGCACTCAATGAAAAAAGGCTGCAAGGTGGTCTATCCCCACCCTTCTACAACTTTTTCCTACCCGAAAGCCCCACCTGAGGGTTGGGAACCCTCAAGAAAGGCCTGGGATGAGGACAGAAGGCTGCGTTTGGAAGGGAGAATTAAGAAGAATTGGAGACAGGCAACTTTCAGTACCAGCACCCTTGCTGGGTGCAACCCAGTTATAAATCACAGACTGCAATCCCAACCTAATGGATATTTAATAGAAGTAAGTCCTCCTGAAATCAGTGCGACTTGCTCCCTAGAATTCCATATAGATCAGTGTTAATTGTAATAATTCTGCATTACTTTTGCATTTTAGTTTTATACAAAATGTTGTAGTAGGTACAAACCACACATCTATATAAGCCCCAATGGCCCATCAACTTTTTAGCAAATAAGGCAGTGTATTAAGTTAAATACAACATCGACAACATAACTCACTTTTTATGCTAATTTCAATAGATGCCTCAGTAATGGCAAGCTATTGCTGCCTATATTCAGTATAAAGAACAGAGTATGACCACATCCAACCACTTCCCAGGAGGTCAACAAGACCGTTCATTAACACGATGAGATCATATAATCGACAAGTATAAAGAAGAGGGCAGTAGACATTTTAAAACATCATACTTGGTTTGGAGTGTGGATACAAAGGTGGAGACACAGAAACACAGAAACAGAGCGAGTCAGAAGGGGCCTCCTGGGCCACTACTCTGACCGCTGGCTCCAGCCGACTCCGCTTACAACATTCCCCCCATGTGCCTGTCTAGCCTATCTTTGAACATCCTCATCAGTGGAGACAGGGAGGGGTCACAGGTAAGAGTAGTGGAGCATCAGAACAAGCTCTCCACTGAGTTCATCAAAAGCTTAGAAAGGACATTGTCTAAAACTTAGACAGAATATGTCTTATCCTTACAGAACAGCATCATGCCTGTCTGTTCAGAAGTAAGCCTCAATGAGTTCAGTCTAGAGGGAATGTATGAGGGATCACAGTTTAAGTAAGCTTTCTTTTGAAGGCAGGTAGCAGGGCTGAATGATCCGCTGGTACCCTGTCCCCTGCTTTGTGTTTCAGTGACAGAAAACAGAACAACCTCATACCAGATGTCACCATACCAGCAAAATTGGATGCTCTTAGAATTGTTTGCTTCTCTTGTAGCTGATAAACACAGTTGCTGCTTAATCTTTAATAATTTACAGCATCCTCTGATATTGTCCAGCTTCCACAGAAAATGTTTATACACTCTGGCCCAGAAGACCAGCATGCAATAGAGGAGACTTAGTCTTTAGTGCTATCCTTTAATTATCCTGGAAAGGGAAGCAATTAGTGTATAATTGTATGGGCAATTAGCTGTCTAAAGAGTTTTCAAAATGTCCTCTGCTTTTAATAAAATAAAGCCTGTGTGATTATTAGCAGATGAAAAGGTTTGTTTGATAAATTATTTCTTTCCATTCCTATCTCAGTCCAGCTAATCGCAAACGGGTTCTGCTGTTAAAATATTTTTGGAAAAGGATTATGAAAATCAGACTAGCATGCATTTTTGTCCACTAGAGGGTGCTGTAAAAGCAATAATGTTCCCCTATAGCAATGCTTGTTCATAGGATGAGACATCAACCTCCTCCTGCAAATTATAGAGCATTTTGATTTTGTTTTCCTAAACTCAAGAGATTTCTTTTGTCATTCCCTATTAGATATGATATTATTATCAATACTTGTCAGATAGCATTTCGTCACAGTAATCCTGGTGGCCTTTTCAGAAAGTCAGAAACTTTGTGTCTTTAAGAAGTGTAAGTTCGAACTAAATCAATTACTGCCAACTCCCAGTATGGCTGGTGAAGATCTTTGCTTGGGACTTATGTAAAAGGTCATGGAGTTTCTCACAAAATGAAATGAAAACAAATGAGCCTCCATTTTAGGATTATTAGCGAGGCAGGGTCTAGAGCAGGAGATGCTTTGATGCAATTGGAGAAGAAAAACTTACCAGAATAATTTCTTCTAGCTCTTAGAAGAAGCCAAGTGTGGCTTGGGAAGTCATGCAGAATGGACATGTATGTTGACTTATGCTTCTAAGTGTCATCTAGAGATGCACATTAAGGGCTGTCCTTAAGGTTCAAAGTGCAAGCATCAGACTTCACATAAATACTTTTAAAATGAGTAAGCTCCACCCTATCCATCCACCACCATCTTTTAATTTTTTTGTTTTAAAACAAAACAAAATGGTCATTCAAGGTCACTGTGTTTAAAGCTGCCCTGGACCAAAAGGATATCAGCATTAGAAGCAAAAATAAGTTGTCTACTGATGGATAGTTGGGTGATAGGCAGCCCTTCAGACCACTCAACCAAGGCTTGTGTTCAAGGCACTTACTTCAGGCAGCAGCTGCTAAGTCCAGTCTGCTGTTCTCTCTTTCTTTTCCTGGCACAATTTTTAATTGCTTAAAACAAACAAGCAAACAAACAAACCCCTAATTCCAACCATTCAGCATTTCTTGCCATCATGCCTCACTTGAGTGAAACTACCACTGGCCAGTATAGTACGACAGGTAGCAATGGGAACACCTTTCTTATCCTGCCTGTCCTATGCAACACTCAAAGAAATGATTTGTTTTAAATTGTTGGCATTGGTTTGGTGACAGCAATGGTCACCCAAAATCGCTAATGCATTTGTGGAGTTTTAATGCATGTGGAGGACATGCGTGTCCCTGGGCAAGGTATACATATTCCAGCCATCGTGAACAGAAGTTCTTGTCCCTCATGTTTCCGGTCTTGGTGATGTCAAAACCCAGAGCAGTATCCAGGGGAGTCATTCTGCCAAACTAAATACCCTTCCACCACCCTCTTGGTTGCACAAGTGAAACTCTAGTTGAAACCTTCCCTCTCATGCATAGTAGCTTGCCTAATTTCTGCCAGTGCAAAGCCTTTGTGCCAAGCTTTAGCTGCTGAGTCGCCTATGAAGAATTGCAGGCAACACCTTCCAGGAAGTGGAAGCATGGCTTGGCAACCATTGCACAAGTATACATTACATCTCCTTTCCCCATGGCTGAGTAACAACTGAAGTGGAAGAATGGGTGACTAGAAGAAAAAGTAGCTTAAGTACATTTGTGCTGGACATTGAGCAGCTTGTTCCAGCAAGAGCAAGTGTTGTTGCCACATGGCTTGGAACTGTAGACATTCACCTTCCTTCTCTGAATTGCTACCTGGTGGGAATGAGAAAAGGTACAGAGACTCACCTTGGTTGCACAGCCTAATTCTTAAAGCTATAGGGTCCTTCTGGCTTGGAAGGAAGTGTTGCTAGTCCCACCCTCCACAGTAATTTTATCTGAAAAACTTATGAAGAAGTTTCTATTTCATTCCAGTGTGAGAGGCACTAGGTTCTGATGTTGCTTTTGCTTCTCCTTTGAAGCTGTTCCCTTAATATTAGTTCAACTTTCTATTCCCCGGCCACACAAATTAGATTAATAAAGTGTATTTGCAAAAAGTATCAAAGGTTAAACATAGCAATTTAGATTAATGAAAATCTTAAGCAGCAGTGCCTACACGAAAACGTGACCTATGCCTTAATGAAATCGTCACTGTCAAAAGATGACTTTTAAAAGAAAACTGCGTAGAGATTTCATTCTTTTTTCCTCATAGTTTCAGTTGCTTGTCCAGGGTTACTATACTATCCTTAATATCCTGATTAAGGGACAATGGGACAATGGACTGGATGAGGGCTAATAAACAGAAGCTCAGCCCTGATAGGACTGAGAAGCTACTGGTGGGTGGTTCCTTTGACTGGATGCAAGGTGTTCAATCTGTTCTGGATGGGGTTACACTCTTCCTGGCGAAGCAGGTTCAGAGCTTGGGGGTTCTCCTTGAACCATCTTTGCCACTTGAGGCTCAGTGGGACATTTTTCTGTGCTTCAGCTGGTGGCTCAGATACATCCCTATCTGGACAGCCTGGTTTCAGTAAACCATTCTCTGGCAATCTCTACAATAGATCACTGCAATGCACTCTATGTGGGACTGCCCTTGAGGCCTGCTCAATAGCTACAGCTCAGGCAGAATGCAGCAGCCAGGTTTGAACATCTAAGACAAGGTCTGGCCTGGAGGCTTCAAGGTATACAAGTCAAGGCACTTTTTTCAACCTAAAAAGACTTAGGGCCACTTAATGGAATGCCCCTCCCAGCTTCATTCAACCTGGACACATGCTCAACATCCTCAAGCCTTCCTCCTGGTGCCACCTCCAAGATGATGAGACGAGACAGTTTGGAGGATGAGAATGATGAGAATTACCCAGTGAGTCTCTCTATCCAGATGGAGTGTTCTCTGCCATCATGAAACTCGCCAGATTCAGGTTTGATGGTGATCCTGTGAGGATCTCTCATCCCATTGGAGACATGCACTTCTAGTCGGCCTCCATTCAGGAACACTGCATAATAGGCCTGCAATGACAAGCAACACTCTTAACCAAGTCCTTCCTTGTGTTCATCTAAGATAATTCCCTGGCATGGCACACTCTCCTCCTGCGAACATGGCAGAAAACAACACATAGCAAAATATTTTACTGACAAACCAGGAGGAATCTGTTCAGTTGTAGCCACTGATGACAGTGATTTGAAATTACCATGTATCCACATGTGTCTTATCTGTGCTTCCAACCTAGTATTCACTACTGGAAAAGAGAATTTGTGTAGCTTTTGTATAGCAAACTAGAAAAGGTCAGAAACTTCTACTATGGAAGCTGAAGCTAATTTGTTAAAAAATCCTGAAAGTACTCTCATTCCACTCAAAGGTAATGCTAGGATTTAGAGGACAAGTAGACAGCAATATACCAAGGGTGCAATCCTATGCATGTTTAAGCAACTAAGAAGTCTCACAGTTCCCAGCATTCCCCAGCCAGCATCCTGGGACTGGTGAGACCTTTTTTTGGGGGGGGGGTGAACATGCACAGGGCTGCACCCTAAGTAGTGTAATGACTAGCAGTCAACCACAAACAAATTGCTGGATGTTACATTAAAAATTAGATTACCGGGTGACAGAAAACTGAAGGCATACTTTTATGCTGCACTAAGCCTTCCTTTAATTAGGCTGGGTTGTTTGTTTGCTAAACAACCATGGTATGCCCAGCATGTGCTTAGGCTTACAATGGCTTGTTCTTCTCCTCTCTCAGTCCTACTGCTGGCTCTAGATGTGTCCTGGTGTCCTTCACAGCAGAGCTCATTTTATCACCCCTCCATGTTCCAATCGCTCTCCGCTTTTACTGAAGTCTCAAGAAGTGCAGCTAGGTCTTGGGTTTCCTGTTTTTCTTTTGGCCCCGAACATTGTACAACTATGTTCAATTTTTAGAAATCATTTTCCCTCGGCCTTCTGTAAGTGCACTCTTATGGTTGTCCAATAAGTGCAGTCTGGTCAATTTTCTTGCCTGCGAGGTAAAGCAGGTAACAGATTGACAAAGCAAGACTACATGTAGGCTAGCTTGTGCACAGTTGCCAGAAGTCAATAAAGCGGAACAAAGAGACAACAGAAGGTGAGGCAAAAGGGAAGGGGGGCATATAATATTTCTCCCTTAGCAATGCTTTCCCCTCAGTTTTGTGTTGAATTGACAATTTGCAATCTACACCATTTTTTTCAATAGTTCTCTGAGTCTCCAGATACTCCAGAAAGGGAAGATATTAACTCCCCCACCCGCAACACACTTTTCTTTCTTCTCTTCAAAGCACTAATTACAGCCATTACTGCAGCTTTCTGGCAAGAGCAGCAGTAGCAGCACAGAGAACTATGGCTTGAGTGTGGGTTGCTCATGAACTGCAGATTCTTGCTGAAATGTGGGCTATCATGTTGTATGAATCCAGCTGAGTTCACAACCCAACAATACACCATGAATTCTCTTCATAGGTTCTTTGTGGTTTACAAGAAATAGCTCATAATAGGATTTTAAAACCATATTAAAATCAGTAAGATACAGAATAAATAAAGCATTATAAACTGACAGTAAAACTTACAATAAATCCAAGGTTGTGAACTGCTTCCAGCCTCAGGAATGGATTCCATTTTAGAGAAATTCTTGGTGGCCATATTCCAGTTATAGATGATACCGAAAGCAATAGGGCAGGGCCAAATTATCAGAAATATTGACATATTTCAACTTAAATATCTTATTGCCAATAAGTAAGCCTGAGGAGAAGCATGTTAACCTTTTAGAATGGGGGGAAATCCTGAAGAAAAACTAGGGAACGGCCAAGAATCAGTGGTCTAGGAAAAGGGTGCGGACCCAAGGAAAGCATGTGTGGCCCACTTTGGAAATCTGGTGGGCCTGATTAGAAACCAAGGTGACTCAGATTTTACTCCCAAATATGAAGTTCTGCACCCCTAAAGCAAATCAATTTATATCATTGCAGGTAAAAAGGTACCTTTTTAAAATTAGACCACCACATGATTAGTGCCAACTGATTGCTAAGTAAAATGGAAAACATGTAGAAACCGTTAAATGAATGAAATAGATCAAAACTTTGGCTTGTAGGAAATATAGTGTTATACCAAAGAATGTCACTTTGCATACATTTTCCTGCTATCCCTAATGCCTCTATCTATCTTTTTTAAATCATGGAATATCATGATTATAGGGATATAAAGGGGAAGACCAACAGGTCAGTGACTAAGCACATGGTCTGACTTCAATGCATTATCATCTATAATAAAGGTTCAGAAAGGACTCTTCAACCATAGCTGTGATGAAGATGATTTTAAAGGATCTTTCTGAGTCACAATTCTCATGAAAGATCAAATTGAAACAATAGATTTCCGAGGGCAGGATCTGAACATGCCTCCCTTCTGCCAAAGAACAATAAACCACACCTTCTCCATTAATGTGCTGTACCTGTCCAGTCTGCCTGCGTTTCCTCTTTGTGGATACTGGCACCCCACTAGTGCCAAACAGTATGATACCAGATTCATTTTTAGTGCTGAAGGACAAGTGGATTTCTGTTCCCACATGAAGTGAAACTGGTGGCATTTCCACAAAGCCTGGTTTAGGGAAGCTGACTGTGTAGATGTTCTGTGGGAAGGAAGGAAAGGAATGGATGACTTTCATGAAACAGCAGATTAAAAAATTGCACAAGAATTTACATTTCAAAGTGCTGTAGCAGTATCCAACATCTCTCAAGTCATGCAGTAATTTATTTACTTATTTATTTATATTGCGATTTATATCCTGCCTTTTTCCTACAAAGGGCTCAAGGCAGCTTACATCATCTCTCCTCCTCCATCTTATCCCTACAACATTTGGGGTGTGCTCAAGACAGCTGACCTGGAAATGCTGGGCATGGCAGGAAAGTTTGACCCTAAAGAGCTGAACTGTCTGGGTTCCTGACAATCTATGTCTTCCTATCTAGTCCCAGCCATGGATAGCTGGGGTTACCAAATGAGCAGTCCAAAGATCTGGACCCAGAACATCCATATTCAGTGTGGCTGCTGCTTTCCATCTGATTGCATTCTATCTGCAAGACCCACTGCTTGCACATCGGGTGCTGGATTCATAAAGAAAATGGAAGTGAGAAGGGATACTTGTCCTGTCATGAGTGGAGTCTGCTGGATTCTTATCATGTCATGACCAGAGTGGGCATGTTGTGAGTGGAGCAGGCTGGAGCCGGGGGTCGACTAGATGGCCCGGGAGGCCCCTTCTGACTCGCTCTGTTTCTATGTTTATTTGTGGATCAGGACAGGTCAGGGGAGCTTCCTTCTGCAATCTCCATTGACCTGCCGCATTCCAGAAAGTACTGTTTTCTCTCATCTCAGTAGGTTTAACAACTGCCAGCTCTCCATTGTACTAGAGGGCTCTCAATGGCATATGGAGAGCAGATCTTTAAAATGCCAGTGTAGAGCTATTAGGTAGCAATGGATTTTCCTGCCTGCTACTCCTCTCAGCCTATCAGGTGCCCTGTTCCCAGTGCCTGTGATGGGCACGACTATCCAGATGCATCACACAGCAGGTGGAGAAGGAAGAGATGGAGGCCAAGACTGCAGAAGACCAGATTGGAAAAAGTAAAACTTCAAGAAGGAATTTAAGGAGATAACACAGATTTCCTGGTTGCAGGCCTGGTAACCTGGATCATGGCTGTTGACCTACAAGATACTACCTATAAGTTTCATCAGCAATCTATAGGCATGATAAAATAACAGTAACATTCAAAAGCTAGGTAGCATGATCTCTAAATAGGTTAACCAGGAATTGGCCTCGGCAAATGAAAAGTTCTTCACCCTACACAAGTACATGCCTGCCTGGCAAGCCAAACTGGACAGACCATCCCCAACGCAGGGTGCCTCAGCAGAAAAGTGCATGGAGTTTAATGATGTGAGCCATCCAGAGAGCCTATGGCTATTGGGGCAGCATACAAATCAAATAAAAGAATATCATGGGACATGCCCACCTCTCCCCGGATGGTCGAGGGACCTTTAGAAGGGCACCCAGGCAGGGCTTAATAGCTGCACAGGTTCACATGGGAAGAAGTGGCCTTTCAGATATGCAGGAGGCCCGAAGTTATTTAGGGTCTTCAACAATGAAACAGTTATCTTCATTTAGGCTTTGAAATGGCCATACAGCTAGTGTATTTGTCAGGCTCTGCTTAGTAACCCAGCTGTCATAACTGAATATTCCAAGCTCATTTAAAGAGAAGCTGCACATGCAAAGCTCTACTGTAATCCAAATGGGGTATTGACTGCATAACCCTCTGGGCTATGGGGTGGCATAAAAGTGAAATAAATAAAATAAATGAATGAGTTTGACCAGTCTGTCATCTTCCAGGAACCAGCCTTAGGTTCATGTCACTGAGGCCACTGGGTCTCTAAAGAGCAAGCTGTATGTAGGAATACTCCGGACTGCAAACCTTCCTTCAGGGGTTTGTCAGCCCAATCCAAAATAGGTCAAAAATCATCTCCTGGGTTTGCGGAGCTGTTCAAAAAAAGCACGTCCATCTCTGCAGGACTGAACTTCAGTTTATCGGCCCTTATCCAGTTCTTCCAACCACCAATTCAGCACCTTTACTTTAAAAGCCTTTCACCTCCCCATCACACACTCCTTCTCTTTTAATTAACACCAAATTCCCTTTTTGTTGTAATTATGCCCTTCCTCATTCCAGTGAGGTGTGACATACTTTGTGGATAGTTCAAAAGCTGAAAGTGAGTTTTAGTTGTGGTGTTCATTTCTGAAAAGGGTTTTACATTCAACCAACACTTTATGGTTATTTAAGCCCGACATTTCCCCACAGCACGGCCTGCTTGCATTTTATAAACCACTCCACTCATACATTAGGCTCCATTATTTGTCACTATTTTATTATCTGAGGTCAGCACTTCAGCTTGTCTGCTGAGCCCAACTCATAAATAAGGCATGCATTGCACTGCCTATGGCTCTATTGCTTCCCACACAGGGAGATATTAGAGTGAAGTGAAGAGGTGCTATATGTCACTCAGTCATAAATCACCATTTTTATGTGTGGTTGCTTAAGCACAGCCAATGTGTACGCCATTATGGATGATGCTTAGCAGCCATTCTGAGCACAATCTGCCAAGGACTGCTTCTTTGCAGCACTTTGACAGGAACTGATCGAATAGCAGAGCAGTGTTTGAAAGATTCCACCTTCCAGTTCTTCCTGTTATGCTATTTCTTGGCAGCTTTTAGGATCTGCTGTAGGTCCGCAGCTTGGGAGTGCTCCTCGACCCGGAGCTTTCACTTGAAGCTCAGGTGACAACAGTGGCAAGGAGCGCTTTCCTCCAGCTTCGGCTGATTCATCAGCTGCACCCCTACCTGGAGTACGACTGCCTTGCAACAGTGACTCATGCGCTGGTGACTTCCCGTCTTGACTTCTGTAACGCGCTCTACGTGGGGCTACCCTTGAAGACGGTCCGGATACTTCAATTGGTTCAGAATAGAGCTGCCAGGCTGCTGACGGGGACTGGATGTTATGTTCACATGACTCCAGTTCTCTGTCAGCTTCACTGGCTTCCCATTGAAGTCCGGGCCCAATTCAAGGTGTTGGTAATGACCTATAAAGCCCTAAACGGCTTGGGTCCTGGTTACCTGAAGGAGCACTTACATCCATATTTGCCCAGTCGCCCCCTGAGATCGGCGGGAGAGGCCCTTCTCCGGGAGCCCTCCGTGAGAGAAATTAGGAGGGTGGCCACTCGGAGAAGGGCTTTCTCAGCGGTGGCGCCTAAGTTATGGAATGCGCTCCCCAGAGAGGTCCACCTGGCACCGTCGTTATTTGTTTTTCGGCGCCAGGCGAAGACCTTTTTATTTAAGCAACATTTTAAATGCTAAATACAATTGAATTTTATCTGGCCAGGGCGGCTTATTTTATAATGTGTGTTTTAATTAAGATTATTTTATATGGATATTTTAACTTATTGTTTTATCTATGTTGTAAGCTGCCCCGAGGCTTCGGCGAATGGGGCGGCATAAAAATGTTTTAATAAATAAATAAATAAATAAAATAAATGTTAGCTCATCCTATGGCAAGCCACTTTGTTATGGCATGGCTACCATGTCATGATACTGAGCTAAACTTCTACCAGTTTTTGCATCAGGAATGGATCGTTCTAGAAGCATCTATTACCGCCATGGAAAATCACCACATGGCAAATGGTACTAGTCATTATGATCAGGTGAAAGGAATTAGCATGTAGAAGCAGCTTGCCATTGTGGGAACAGGGGTAGAAGGGTCCATCCACTTGAGTTCTTCCTTAAATTCAGTTCATCTAAAACTTTGAGAATTTTTTAATGAATGAAAAATGATAAAGATCTTTGCGCTCATTCACCACAGGCATTTTCCCTAATAAGCACTATTCTGCAAGAAATTTTCCCAATGTAATGCACCTTTGAACAATATTTTCCCTAACATGTGTATCTCTGTATGCATGTTTTGGTTGGAATATATTAATATTTGTGGAAGTGTGGATTTTGAAAGACAGCTTCAGTTTGCATGGTGGTTCAAAAGTATGAAATCAGGTCAGATGAAAATCAAACCATTTTTTTCCTATCCATAATACTGCTAAAAAAGGGGAGTTGCAGGAAAAAGCAGTAGCATTTTAAAGCCTGACAGGAGAGGACCAGGTAGTTTTTATAAGAATATGTGTAACATGGTAAGTTCTTCCTTTCTCATGAATTTGCTCACTACACATTATGAACTAGCTATTTGTTGAAAGAACAAACAGAGCTCATGCTTAGGTCTCTCAAAAGAACATAAACCGCAGACAGACTGACCTCCAGTGTACACCCCTTTATAATGCCAACATAATCAGGACTGCTCAGAAGATTGTATGGTGTCCGAGAAATTTCAATATCCTTGATACAACCTGCATATTTCTTTACATTTACTTCAGGCCTGTAAATATAAGATCAATGCAGATTCAGCCTTAGATTAAGCCAGTTTTTAGACTCTAGAAAGCAAGGCAGCGCACATATAATCACAAAAGGACTATTTCTTTTCATATTACTGTTTTACATACACTAGACTGAATCCAGAGAAAGTTAGACATTTATTATCCAAAAAAGCCACCAATTCCAAGAGGAACAGCAACAATTTCAACCACAGGGAAGAAAGTAATTTGTGAACCAGTGAAGCTACATACCTTTCTGGTGCCGATTCACACATGTAGAGGCACATATTTTTTACACTTATAAGAAGCCAGAAAGATACACAACCCAATGAACTCTTTTTCGTCATGGCTCAGCTACAGAACTACTCTACATTTTAATACTACTACTGCTACTATTACTACATTTTAGTACTGAATTGCAACCAAAGGTGTCTTTCTGCAACTGGAAGTCTTCTTCTAACACCATGGAAAGTTAAAATATAGCAAAATATATATTTCTGCTTGGCAAGAACTTGAGAGAATTTTTATCCATGTAAAAGTTCACCACTAACACTTGGTGAGCTCTGGCAAATTACTGCACACGCAAATCTGTACTGTAACAAATGAGAAAAGACAAAATCATGCCTGTGAAATTATGACAACTAAAGTGATTTATTACTTTTTCATGCACAGAGGCACTAAACATAAATGTTTTCCTTCCATCTTCTGAGATTCCACACCTATTTTTTAAAAAAATCTTGAATATTTACAATTAAAATTATTCTTTTGTCCAGGGACAGCTGAAATGATCTGAAATGAAAGCAATCCTACTCCTTATTTAAAACATTTACTAATGTCATTAAATATCTTAGCAAATATATTTCCAAATGTGCTTGCTTGGTTTGTAATGCCATATTGCTCATAAGACCAAAACAGTGGTAGTCCAGACCAACCTCTCAAAGCCTGGGAAATGAAGACTTGATCTGCCATACTTTATGATCTGCCATAAAGATAGTACACACATAACCACATTTTCTTTTACCACTCCTCTGACTATGAAAAAGCTGTTTCATAAATGCTGACTTTAAAAAGTAGCCATTGTGAAATGCATAATTAATCTTCTGGCCCATGTTAATGGCCAATGGACATAAATAGCAGGTGATGTGAGATATGCTTATAATGTGGTCAATTTACCAACCAATAAAAAAGTGCTTACAAAAATAAGCATGTAAAAGAAGATGAATAAATATGGAAAACAGAAATTCATAGCTATCTCACACACACACATATTTTTTACTAATCTCAAACTTAATATAATAACAGCATAACATAGCATAACAACTTGCACATTCATTGATCACTTTTTTTGGCTTTCTTACTGTGTTTATATTTTGCTTTATTTTGTCTTGCTTTTTTTTTTTTTTTTTTTTGCACTGTAGCCATCTCAGCAAAGCATAGCAGATGTATTTCAAAAGCTGCAAGTATCTGTAAGTTTGTACTAAAGTGTGTGCGTGTGCGTGTATGGTTGGGGTATTCTATTTTATTGCCAGATGAAGATAAGCAATAGACCTGTAACTTGCATGCCACAGTTTTTATAATCTGCGTCATGGACACCATCAGAGAACAATGAACACAAACTGAAAATGCCTATACTTCATCTCTTACATTTTCATCACAGCAGAGCTTTTCTGCAATCTCAACAGCCTGTAATTTGTTAGAGAAAATCAGCTTCACCAAGTGGTGTTTGCCAGAGTTTCAGAGCCACTGAGGCTAAAATTACATGTTAAGCAGAGTTCTTTGCCCTGCAGTTTTTCTTAAAGCGAAGCAGGATGGGATGGGTTGTGTCTCAGCAGATGGAGGTGCCCAGCAAGGTTGCTTTAGCTTTCCTTTCCTGACATCCTCCAGCTAAAAAAATTCACCTTCTCCAAATTCCTTTCTTCAATCATTTGAAGAAAGCAATGGAGAAGATACGGGGACACTCCTTATGTGAAGGTGATAAACAGCTCGGCAAAGGGATTTTGGAAAAGGACTTAGGCCAAAGGGTGAATCATCTTCTGTCTACAAGTTCTTCTGTGTGCACACCACACACAAAGAGAACATGGAGAAAAGAATCAGAGAATTCTTTGAACCTCATTTTCCAGCATTACCTAAAATAATATTTCCCATAGCATGAATTGCACAAGCCTTTGCATCACTGTGTAACTTGCAGGTACAAAATCATCTTATTTCAGGGTTTCTTCAAATATTTCTGAAAGGTTACAAAGTTTACTTCTATATAAAGGCCATGATATTCTTTAATTACTCATATACAGTGTTTTAAATTATTTTTTGTACCTTGCTTTCTTCAGATTCAAAGAGCACATTACAAAGATCCATAAGACAGTCCCTGTCCTTAGGTTGATAATGTTAAATTAAATTTTAGTTACATCTCAAACTTTAATTCTAGCTTTATTTTGTATGAATCCCATCTACAAGATTCATCTTTATAATGTTCAGACAAGGCTTGTACTTTTGTCCATCCATATCTTTATGACTTTTAGATTCAGCTCAGGATGAAAGGGACTTTTATATTTCAGGTTCAGCACTGACTAACTCAGACCTTATTATCCAGAAAGCTATATGGAACATTCAGCTACAAAGTCAGCATATACCTTTGAATACTGGGGGAAACCATAGCAGAAGGTGATCCACATTATGCCTGCTTATGGACATCTAGTCATTTCTCTTGCTACTACTGGAAGCAGTTTTCTGGACTATATGGACTCCTGGTCTGATTCAGTAAGACTATTGTTTGTTTGTTGCATTTATGTACCACCCCAATAACCCAGAGGGCTCTCTGGGTGGTTTACAAATATTAAAACCCCAAATACAGTGTCCAAAACCCAAAATACAGTATTGTTAAGTTCCTGAGCATACACAGAAACTGTATATGCTGCGAAGACATATTCCTTCAGCTTGCATTAAAAGCTTGTACAGCCTTCCTCAATCTCATACTTTCCAATTGTGTTGCACTGCAACTCCTATTGTCCAGGGGATGCTAGGAGTTGTTGTCTAACATATCCAAAGGACAGCAGTCTAGGGAAGTCTGCATTGCCATTTTAAAGCATTTCCTTTGAAAATAAATCAACTTTTGAGGCTGACACTCAATTCTCAAAGATTTCCAAACATGTTCGAATCACTAATTTGCTCCATGCTGAGCAGAAACACTAACTGGTGGTTCTTGTTGTTTTGTAAAACACAGCTTTTTTTTACTAGTAGGAACCTGGTACAATTAATTTAAGAGAAAAAGAAAACCCAACACAGTAAGCTGTAAACAGCTGTGCAAAGACGCTGGCCAAGATGTGTCGCTGCGAATGTGTGCGCAGTAGGCAGCTAGACTGTGCTAAGCATTCAAGAGTAGCTTGATTTGCTGCAGCAGAATCTGGTGCCAAATGAACAGCCCCAGAGCAACAGCTGGGAACAAATGCAGGCACAAATTGCTTTTTGCTTTGCCACCTGTTGCAAGCTGTGCTAAACACATGCAAAGCATAAAGCATGCAAGCATTGATTTAAATTTGATATCTTTTACCTTGATTTCATACTAGGATAAAAATGGAGAGAGAGAAAGAGGGAGAGAGAGAAAGAGGAACATGTAATTTTATTTGCATTATAATACTGATCACAAATGACATTCCTGTAATGATACCTATTTTTCATTAGGTTCAAATACAGGCTACTGTGAGAAACCCGGGGACTTGTATATACATATTTACACATCATACACTGTCACTTGACCATACAACCTCCTTTAATATGGGCCTATTAGAAACTCACTGCAACTTGCTGGGTGGCTCAACTGATTCACCTCTTCAACCCCAGCCTGTACAGTGCCTGTAAATAATAGGGAACCCTACCCCAACGCTCTCCTCCAAGCTATGCTTACTGTGCAAGCCAAAGGCCCCAGCATCATCCTAAGGCAGGAGGGAATGGACAGTCCTCTACTCATCTGAACAAGTCCCTTAATGTCTGTGCTGTCTATTTTTCAACAATAAGAGTTTCACAACCCAGCTGGTGAAGTGAAAGGGGGCAATGCAAAGAGGAGGATCCAAACTGAGGTGAAAGCATAGACAAGCCTTTGCTGCAAATCCGACACACCTGAAATTGTTTGGCTTTCTTACTTCTGATCTCCATGGTTTTAGTTCTCCAGCAAGGAAGCTACCTTGGCTGGGGAAGGAGAGGCTACAAGCTATGCCAGGGGTCCTCAAACTTTTTCACCAGGGGGCCAGGTGAAAGGTGCCGGCGCTGGGCGTGGACCGGAAAGGTGGTGCGGTGGTGCGTGCAGGCCGGGGATGGGGGCTGCGTGGGCAGGCGCTGAGGTGGGGGTGGGGGGTGAGACTGGGCAAGGTGAGGCGAGGCATGAGCCGCGAGGTGGCCGCACGAGGCAGTGGCTTGCTTGGAGATCGTTTTCTCCGAGAGAGCGAACAGCTGCCTCTCCACACGAGCAGGGGGGCGCGAGGTGTGCGGCGTCGGGCGCACGCGTGGACATGGGCACAGCAGGTCCAAATGGGCATGGTAGGCCGGATTCAGCCCCAGGGCCGTAGTTTGAGGACCCATGAGTTCACAGAAATAATGCATAGGTGCTTTTTGCATTTATATGTGAAAGCAGAGAAACTACTGTCACCCATTTCTTTATTTAAAAGACTGATACCCCACCTTTAACAGGTTTCCAGGGAGGATTACAAAAAAATTAGACAGGTGGCCAAAATGTGGAGTAATGAAGCCATGGTGGTCTATGCACAAACTCTAATTGCATCGCTTACTTCCTCGTGAGCAAAGAAATTAAACAGCTTCTCTACTAGAAGAAAAGCTGCAGCATTTGCAACTTTCTAGCTTAGAGATGCAGATGTAACAGAAGAATGTAAATGATGAACTGTTTGAGAAGAGTGCACAGAAGGACATCTTTTTCCAATAATTCCACAATTCACTCAATGAAGTTGATTGTGAGTGTGTTCAGGATTTACAAACATTCCTTACACAAGGCATAATTCATTTATACAATTCACTTGTGCACTATGTGTTGCAGGCTGCTAGCCTAATGGCTTTAAGAAGGATGAGGCAAATTCATGGAAGACAGGATCATTTAAGGAAATTAGCTATGATGAGCTAAGTGCCGCTTCTGCTTATGGAATTCTATGGATATTTTGTTGGAAAAGCGTCTTCCTTTTTTGAACTGATCTAATGATGCAACTTTTACAATGTTGTGCTTTTCCTGTAATGTAATTGCATGCTTTCTGTTAAGCTATTACTTTATACCAACTTTAGGCATTTGGGGCATTTTAAATCTGTAGTGCTAATTTATAATTAAGCCTTCCATCTGTTTAAGGAAAATGAGACATTCATTAAAAAATAATAATGCAGTAACAGCATTTTCTGAAATCAAAAATGACAAACGGATGTATATTGGGGTACATCATGAGAAGGCAAGATGCACTTTGTTAAAACTATGTGTTAAAAATATAGAGTGAAGGGTGCTTTTCCAGAAAACCTTATTTTTAAACCTGAACTATTAGGAAAATCCCCTTTTTTGTTAAATCAGGACCCAAAATTGCTTTACTGACTCAAAACAGGCTAAAGAGCTTAAAAGATGTCCTGTGTTGTTGTTTGAAGGGATGGGTATGTGGGAGGGAATCTGAAATCCACAGTGCATTCTTACATGTATCTAATCAGAGGTGTAAACCCTGCTTGGCCTAATGAGACTTACTCCCAGGCAAATATGCTGAAGAATCAGCAAATTATTACAAGAAACAACACTGGGGAAATGGTTGTACCACATCATGAAATTCTATCAAAATATTCTTTCTCTTCAGCTCTTGTCTCAGGGCAACACTACATGAAAGGCCTCAACAATACAGTAAGTGAAGCAATTGCCAGAAAGATATGTAAGAATTTAATCCTCTCGCTCAAATGGAAAAAAACATGTTTGGAAACAAACAAATCAAACATGTTGACATTTTATCACATTAAGTAGCTACAAATAAGTAAATATCATATTTGAATTCCTAATCCTGTAGAAAACATACACACAGGGCCCAGTACAAAAAGTTCTCTAGTAAACCAGTTCAATTTTGAAGGTTCACAGAAGATGGGCAGAAAAATAAAATTGGTTGGGTGCAGGAATCAGTTGACAGGTTGTTTGTATTGCTATCTTCTATGGGAACCTTATCTCAGGGAGCCCCTGCCTGCCCTCATGAATATTTATAAAGAAGCACCTGTGATGTTGTGATAGCAGATGGTACAGCACAAATAGGAAGGGGCAATTATCCTTTCTTTGTGCAAGTTTCCTGCTTCCTTGTATTATTAAATACTAACCATTGCTGCCCTCTTGTTGACTATCTGTTAAGTACCATACCTTAGGTTTCCTCTCAGTGTTGGTAGTCCACCGAAATAGATTGGCTCACTGGCTTTCAAGTTGAGGCCAAAGTGTTTCCCTGAAGAAACTGCTGTTATGCTCTCCTCCTGATTGGACTCTATATCTACTATTGATATATTAGCTGTGGAAGAACAAAGAGAAAGTTTAACATAAATTTCACCTGAAGATGATACTTCAAAGACATATAGTTATTTCTTACTCTCTTGAGAACATTCTGATGGTTCATACCCCTTCAGAATATTCTGAAAAAGAAATCCACAATCCTAGGCTGTTTCTTAGAACCACTTTTACTGGTATATTTTTTCCTATTAATGGGGAGTGCATCAGTACAAGTATATAAGAAAAACAGTGGGTAATATCGAATTAAGCCTTCCACTGATGGAACAGACTTTGCCAGTGGAAGGGAGGGAGTTGTTAACTTTCTCATCTACAACCTCTCATGCCCTCCTCAAAGGCTTCTCTAGAGAGTTGCACAATCCTATGCAGAAGATTTTATGGGGAGCTGAAGAGCTGCAAAGGGAGGAGAACTGGGGAAATCCCAAATAGTGGAGACATCAGCACTGAATGTTATCCAGATTAATCCAAGTAGTCGAACACCAAGGGTTTAAAAATGGAAAAGAAATCAATCAAGCATGAAAATAAAGAATGGGAAACAGCTTAATGAGAAAAGATTTGTCACCTTAGCCAAAACATTTAGGATTATTAGCACATGATTAGTTCATTCAGAACATTTTCTCCTCAGAACAAATGCCAGTGCTTAAATATGAATTTCCTGATCATGCTTCTGATGTGGGAAATATTTTCTAAAAGAGGTAATAGAGGAATATCCATTCAGCCAAAATTACAATAAAAATATGGAAAGCTGATCCGGACAGCTTGGCAGCTTGGTGCTGTTCCCATAGAAAGTAGCTGTCTCCCTCATCCCATAATGGCAATTCCATTCCATTGTGATGGGCTCCATCACAGCCAGGTCATTTGCATCCTACACCTTCCTATGCCTCACTATGACCTGCTCTTGCCCCAGGTCATTCTTTAAAATGGAAACATATTTTTCATGCCACATCAGTTGCCATGACCTTTTAGAATGGGGAGAGCAGGAAATCTAGTTAAACCCAATGTAATTAAAGAAGTATATGGTGGCCTGATAGGTCAGGCAGATGGAAGATTTGTGGTCAGTGCAAATGGGTAATAACAAGTTTAATTCTGCTTGGCCTGTGAGAGCACTGCTGTGGCAACAGGTGCAATGGATTGGATCCACTGCATGATTTGATAGAGTATGACCCCAAAAGCAGAATTCATTTGTTAACAATATTTATAAACCACTCTATATCTGAGCAGTGAACAGAAAAGGATAAACAATCAGATAAAAACTATTACAAATATTGTAAATCAAATTATACCAATAAAAACATAGCTAGTCATTCAAGAAAAGCTTGTTCAAATAAAAATGGCTTTCTCATACTCCTTAAAAGAATGCAGTTTTCCTACCTACCTGACATCAACTGGCAGGGAATTCAACAAAGAATGCATGAATTACACTAAACTCAATTCCAAGTGGACTCTAAATGGATCTCAGGTCCATGTGGAAACCACCAACAGTGCCTTATCTGGTGACCTCAGTATCTAGGCAGGGTTAAGGAAGGAGGTGCTATCTTAAATACAGACTGTTTCTTTTGCCAGTGACACATCTGGGACCATTTCTTATGGTGAACAGGAAAAGATAATTTCCACTTTTCATTTACTTGAATGAAATAGCCTGAAAAGGCCACCTTGGGCCACATCTGTTACTTTTTAAACAGATATGTGTGGAATGCTTCAGAGAAAATTTCTTACTGCATTGCTTTCAGATTTGCTGGAACTTTTCACCTGAGCAGGACTCTCCCAAGTTTTTATTGTAGGTGGAATTCAGCAACAATCCTTGTCATAAGTTTAGACCCCATCATGTGTGAGACACCTTTTCTCCTTGCAGTACAACCAGCTGTGACACTCAGCAAGCTGTGTCCATTGTATAATGGAGACCAATAAATCACCCCACCAGCATTTATTTCACTGCCTTTTTAAAGTGCTTTGAGAGAGCCAACTTAGGGAAGACACCAAGAAGTACAAAGCTAATTTACATGCCAACAAAAACAACATGGTTTTGTTTTATGAACTTTGAGCAACATCAGGGCACTGTATGGATTTTTTTTTACTCAGATACTTTTTAGAGTATAATCTAGGTAACTGCAAAGCAAAATTATGCCTGAAAAATTAAGGTACTATTTTCAAAAGAAAATCATAAGAGACCTGTTTGACACTGCAATCAGTCACAGCTCACCTCAGCCATGAGTAATTGAAAGCAAATGAAGTTGCTAAATCACTTTCTTTTACAACTTTCTAAACCCAGCAATTTTGTACATCATCTTCTCCATGATTAGGTAGTTAGCTGTGCTGGATAATATAATTAGAACATTTATGGTGTTATCACTGCAGGAACTCACCTTGTTTTAGAATTCTTGACAAGGTGAATGATTTCCATTTTCCATCATTGTGGTTCTGGTTACCAACAACAGAAGCTGTTCCTGAACCTAGATCATAGCCAACTTTGATACGCCCATCACTGAGTTCTATGCTCATAAAATCTTTCTGTTAAGGAGAAGCATCAGAAATCTCACTTAGCTACTGAATGACAAATTCTGCTTTTCCAATGCAAAATAAGTACGCATGACATGATTGTCCCATCCTCAAGTCAATCACAGGACCTATGCATGTTTCCCCTGCAGCTTTTCTTTACAAAAGTGAATATAGTTCAGAACAAAGGGGTTATTAGTGGAGTTAATTTGGAAAACCTATTGGGAATGACAAGGCAGGGCACAGTGAGAGCAAGTTCAATTAATCACTGATAACATGACTTAACATAATATGAAAATGATTTGAGAAATAAAAAGCTTCCAACCCAAGCCTCCAAATTAACATTCTTATGCAGCTCCTTAAAAAGAAATTCCTCTGTCTCTTTCTCCACATGTGCAAACACATGGCTCAATTTCCAAATAAGGGACAAGTCACTGTAACTGTTTCTATTACCTCTTGAATTGATAAAATCTAAGTTGTATGGTAAGGTTGTGGACAAATGACAGGGCAGAATAATGAAATACAAAACTCAATTGTATCCTTAAGATAATTAGAAGAAAAGTTTTCTTCCAAGGTGAGATCACATTCTACAAGATACCAGTCTTGTTCCAAAGATTCTCACATCTGTCTGCTAAGTAGTTCAAGGGAACCTTGGTAGATGCATCCTATGCTGCATCCTGCATATCAGTAGGACCCACCATTAACACACCAGGGAGCTGAGCAGCTGGTAAAGCAACAGGAAATGAGAGAAAGTGGTCATTTCCAAAATGGGGAGGATTAGTAGAAAGCCCAGTAGGGAGTTCTCACTGATCTGCTCTGAGCTGGAAACAAGGGTTCAGCTAGTTTCTGGCTTTCTTTATGCAGTGCTATATCCTCATTGTGCTAGCTGTGGGTTCCAATGGAATAAATGGAAGTGCAGAAGCAATGCTGGAATTGCCCTCTGGTGCAGATCTAGGAGCAGAAAGAAACAAATGGAAAAGCACCCATGCTCTAGCAGCCATGGTTGTGCTTGCTTAGATGCTTCTGTATCGGAGTCACAGTCTTAATGGCATACTTGCACACACCCACCTTACAGTTCAGTTAGAGATAACTTTCAACTTTCGATAAATATCAAGAGTGATATGGGCACATAGCTAATCCCATTTTCTTAATATTACCAGTTTTGAGACAGAAAATGAATACTGGCAATCACATTGTCAAGACTGTTGTAGGATAGCCAGTTTTCATGCCTTTCTCCTGCATCACAGATGCACTGTCCAGCAAAATTTGTAGGTGCTGAGAATGTGCCAGGAGAATTTTCAAGTATATGTGTGAAATTCTCTTGCCCCTTGGAAGTCCCACTGGCCATTTTGTTTGTTTGTTTGCTTTGTATGTGCAGATGTCAAAGAAGAAAACGGGAACAAATACAGCTTTTCCTGCCCCTGCCTCCCATGACAGAAAAAGAGGAAGAGTGTCCATGCTGTTCCTATCCTTCCAAGCCAGTGAGACTAGCAGCCCTTCCCCTCTATTACAAAACAAGCAATTCAGCTCCTTCCATGTAGACTTTCCCATTTATTTGCTCCACTGAATGGGATTTAGTTGTGACTAAGGCAATCTACTTCTGAGCATATATGCATTTCAGATACCTGTTTCTTAAACAAGGGGATAAATATGACAATTGGGAAGGCATGAAAAGACACCACCATTTTTTTCAGAGGGTAGGGGAGGGGAGGGTGCATTGGCAGACCAGACAGAAAAATCCTGGGAGGGGTGAAGCAGGCAGGAAAGCAACTGAAGCATCTCAGAGTTGCTGCCAGGCTTTGCAGAACACAAGCCCAGACAGCTTACTTCCTCTTCCATCTGCCACAGGAAAGTGACTCAGGTGATACATCATCACAAGAAAAACTTGGTGTGGAAGCTATACAGAACATCTTGCCATCTGCACAACACAGCTTAAAATTAAGCAGAAGAGGTGGGATGATGATGTAGGATGCCAATTCCCAGTTAAAAGGAGCAGAGCTTTTAGAAAATCATGTCTTATCAGGTGTAATCAGAAGTTAACCAGTTATTGGATGGATCCTTACGGGACTTAACAGCGTCCCTTTCTTTTACTAGCTCAATCAATATCCTAGGTCTTAATTGGAACTGGGAGCTCTACATGCATTTTCCATATTAGTTCCTTTCATTGCCCTCTGTACTTTTCATTTGGCCGGAATCAAGGTCTCAAGTAGCTTCCATGTTGCTGAGAAGTAGGAGAGGTTTGAATATTAGACTCTTACACATTTTCTATAATGCTCTCCCATATGTAAGAAATATGGACCTGTAAAACCCTATGTATCTCTATTTGCACATAGACTCTACATGTGGACAGTGATCATACCCCACATTGTTTACTAAAAATGTATGCCCCCCTCTTTTTCATGCCTAAGCAAGCTACCACATGATCACATATCTGAGATATTGTTAAAATAAGTATTTCATTAAAATATTTTTGATATCACATTGTGGATGACTACAGATGAAACGATGAAGTGTCCAACAGGCAGGCAGTCTAATATTAATCATTTTTGCCATATAACGTAAAAAGCAATATACATTAGAAATGGTAAAAGTAATCATTTACTGCACAAGTAATGAGCTGCACAAAATTTTAACAGTACTGGGCAAGCTGCTGAATTACACCCCTGTAAATCACCCTGTTTTAGCTATAAATGGCCTCACACATGTCATAAAACTCACTGTCTTCATTTTAGTGACATTCATCACAGCATAATGCCACACATTTTAAACTCTGTTTACAAGGAACTATGTACTCTATAATGTTAACAAGAGAGACTAGGAAGCATTTAGGCGAGTTTTACCAGGTCTGCTGTAGCAAGGTACATCAGAAGAGCAGTGGAAGAAAATGTCTTGAACTTGAACATGACAACAGAGATGTTTGGGTTCCATCTTATTGGGCGGCTCACTGTCGCGTACCCTTCTCCATCAAACTGAACAGTGCCCTCACTATCCTGCACCTGTGGGCTGAGAGGGAGAGAGAAGTCTGGAGCTCAAATACAGTTTGCACTAACTGCTATATGGACACACACAGCTGAAAAAGGGAATTATGGGGTTTAAGGATGTGCTTCATATAGACATTCTTTCTCAAAACTACAATGTTGAGCTTCTGTGGATTGCTTCTGATGGTGGATCTCCGACAGCAGAAGAGAAATGAAATCATGTTGGTTTCACCATGTTTTCTCATTCCCTACATAAAAATGGCATCCACAAGCAGCCTTAATATATTTAGAGGAGCTATTTAGAGGCCCTAATATTTTAAGTAAAAATATATGCTTAGTTTTTGGCACTGATTCCCTATTTATATTTGAGATGCAAGGAATAATATTCAATGAAGTATTTAGGGTTTATTTGGTTCTATCTCATAATAATAGATATTTGTTACACTGCGATTGTTGGAAAAGCTTAAAATAAAGGTGATTTTATATACTATTTAGTATTTGAACAGTATTATGATTTTGTTTTGTCAAATAATCAGATATTCAATAGCATCATAATGGACAGTGCAGACATAAATCTTACCTGACAGCACAGCCCTTACACTCTCCTTCAATGTCTCTGAAATTCCACAGTCCTATTGGTTTGCTGTCCAAATAAGTCTCTCCCATACAACCAGTAAAAGTCGTGACTCTTACAGCATCAGATTTCTGGAAGTAGAAGGCAGGCCAGGTGAATTTTGGACTTGTTAACAAACCACACAGGTCATGCTTTTTGTTTGTTTGTTCATTGTGTTCTTGCCTTCTGTTTGTTCCTACCTACTTTATTATTTTCAACTGATGCAGAAATCAGTCACAGCACCAAATGAAAACAATTGTTTGTGTGTAGAAAAGTTGCACCAACAGAATCAAGGTGTATTAGGTCCACTTTGCTAACTCGTGACTGAGGCTCTTCTGCAGTCTTCTTCAAAAGCCACTATATAAATATTCCACGGATGCCGTGATATTTTCACCTCCTTTGTCACCTTGTGCATTCCTAGTCCTGAAACAGTGGTCTCAGCTGTGGTTGTAATATTGAAGGATCGACCTACCTCTTGGTGCCCCTGACACGCAAGGAAACCTTACCATACCAGGTGCACAAAATCATTTTGGAATAGGATGAATCTGGACATGACTAACAACATACTGCTCTCATTTACATCCTGTTCTTCCTGTTGAAGGATATCCATGCTGGACTCTTGCTTTCCTCACCTAGTGCCCTCCAGGTATTTTGCAGTACAACTCCCAGCATTCCTAACCTTTAGGCATGCTGGCTGGGACAGATAGGAGCTGAAGTGCAACAACTTTGGAGGGTTGGAAAAGCCTGAACAATTTGGTGGCTACTTGACAACCAAGCCAAATGGAGTCTGCTTCAAGTGACAGATTGTTAGTCATGCAAATCTGCCAACTTTGCATCTTCCTGGGTTGTTTGTGAACTATCCCTTAATATAATTATACTTTGTCTTATCTCTAAAATTGTTTATCTCTTTTGAGCATCCCAAATTACTGGCTTATTAGATCAACGAAGCAATCAGTTAATTCTGCTAAGTTAATCAATGCTAAATTGGAAGTTTGAAAGAGAGACTGGAAATTTGGCAGTCATAACATCCATTTGAGAATGTTAAATTAATAATTTTGAGTGATTGTTTTTAATGCTAATCAGCCAGAAATATTATCAATGAAATGCAACAACAAGAACTGAAATGGCTCTGCTATTTCTGGATTGTTTGAAGAATATTTGTTCTAAGATGAACTTATCTTTTTAAAAAGTATCCCATTTTTTCTTTTATCTTGCTGCACCAATGTGAGCTAGTTCCAATTCCAGATATTTAGCAATTTGAAGCACACAAGCACCTGCTACTTTTCATGAAGCAATTATGAATATTAAAAATATTAATGTGCAAGCATATGGAGAAGAGCAACTTGACTTTCAAAGAGAGGCATGACATGAAAGTCTAACAACTTGGGCGATCTGTTCCAAGGTCATTGTAGATGTTTTAATTGGCAAAGGATGAATTTAATGCCACTTTTAAGAACTTCATGATAAGTAGGCACCACATTCTATTTGAGTCAAACTGAAAAATTAGAAAAAGAAGAAACAAAGCCTGCCAAGAAAGGAAAGTAGAATATAATTTTGAATACTAGACACATTTTCTAGAAGCTATGATAATCATAGAAATACAAAATGGAAAGAGGCACAGTTGCCAGAACCTGTGGGAGTTTTTATATTCTGTGCCTGTTTCCTCTATACCCTTTCCTTTCCCAGTATAATTACCACAAGGCTCTGTTATCAACTTTTGATTTCATCACAGAATTAACATTCGATCACTACATAAAAAGCACCATGCATTTCCTTTTAGCTTTTCTAAGACCTAACTTCCAGGTGGCACTGTGGTATAGCAGAATAGTGCAATTATACACATGAAAAAATGTTTTCTTTCACTTTTACCAATAATACGGCATTGTCTCTACTCTAAAAATATTCGTGGAAAAATCAGTTTAAAAACAGAAGCATATTTTTATTTAAAGAATGTCTAATTGACCTTGAGTAAGGAACACTGAGTGCATATTAAGTACCTTATGTAGAATAGCTTCATGTATGCTGCAGTCAATACTCAACATTCAGTTCCAATATTAAAAAGGCCTCTGTTTGAAAGTTTGCTACAACATTTTGATGAATGCTTGTGGAATCCATAGAGATGGCGTTTTTTAAAGCTATGGTAAGCTCCAAATGCACCATGACCAAATGCAGAGAGGAGAGACAACTAATTCCATGTTTCCCTCTATTGTTAGCTGACTCATTTTTCAAAGCAGTGAGTGGGGCCAGGAAACATACACCAATGTTATGGTCAAGGTAAAAGGGAGGGGAAATTGTGTAAATGTCAAGGCAGCTGTCAGCTGGGAAGGGATGGGGAAAGAAGGCAGTGACATGAGTTAAAGCAGGAAAAGCAGCAGCACTTTCTTCTAGCCATTTGCAACAAGCCAGACCTGGACATCACAAGCCACCATGGTTATGAACAACCCTAAAACAAGTTATGGCATCGGAGGTCTTGTTTGCAAAAAATAACACCCCCTGCAGAATCCATGCTGTATTCACACAAACTGTTCATCCCATGGAAGGTTGTGATGTTGTATGAATCAGGAAGACATCTGATTTTCTGATGCCACATTGTTGCTGTTTCTTAAATCTAGTTGGCTAGATGCAGAGCTCTATGCAAGTGACCTCTGTAGCCTGGAAGGGCCGATTTCAGACTTAATATGCCAGTCAAGTTGGACTACTGTATTGTGCTCTATGTTAGGCTGCCCTTGAAAATGGTCTGAAAGTTCAGGTGGTGCAAAATAGAGCAGCTAGGCTGCTGCTGAGGACTGGTAATACCAAATATACTACACTAGTCCTCTATGAATTACACTGGTAACCCATTGGAGTCTGGGCCTACTTCAAGGGGCTCGTTTTGACATGTAAAGCCCTAAATGGTTTAGGACCTGAATATTTGAAAGACCATCTCCATCCATATAAACCTACCCAGACCCAGAGATCATAATCGGAGGTCCTGCTCTGGGAGCCACCTCTAAGAACGCTAGGAGGATGGCTGCCCAGAGCAGGGTTTCCTCAGTTGTGGCACCCCATCTATGGAATCGACTTCCCAGAGACATGAGTCAGGTTCCATCCTTATATATATACATATTCTAGTGCCAGACTAAGACATATTATTTAAGGAGAATTTTAATTGTTAATGATTTGAATTGTAATTTTATTTTAATTATATTTTAATATAAATTTTAGTTTTCTTAATTATGACATTTAAGATAATTCCAATCTGTTGCTAAACTATTATTTGTTGTTCCTGCTATGGTCTTCTATTATATTATTATTGATACTGTGGTTTTAAATGTCTTCTTGTTGTTGCTAGTCGCGAAGTCATGTCCGATCCATCGTGAACCCATGGACAACATTCCTCCAGGCCTTCCTGTCCTCCACCATCCCCTGGAGTTCACTCAAGCTCACACCAACTGCTTCAGTGACTCCATCCAGCCACCTCATTCTCTGCCGTCCCCTTCTTTTTCCATCTATTGTTCCCAGCATTAGACTCTTCTCCAGGGAGTCCTTCCTTCTGATTAGGTGGCCGAAGTATTTGAGTTTCATCTTCAGGATCTGGCCTTCTAAAGAGCAGTCAGGGTTGATCTCCTCTAAGACTGACCGGTTCGATCGCCTTGCTGTCCAAGGGACTCGCAGGAGTCTCCGCCAGCACCACAGTTCAAAGGCCTCAATTCTTTGGCGCTCAGCCTTCCTTATGGTCCAGCTTTCACAGCCATACATTGCAACTGGGAAAACCATAGCCTTGACTATACGCACTTTTGTTGGCAGGGTGATGTCACTGCTTTTTAGTATGCTGTCTAGATTTGCCATAGCTTTCCTCCCAAGGAGCAAGTGCCTTTTAATTTCTTGGCTGCAGTCCCCATCTGCCGTGATCTTGGAGCCCAGGAAAATAAAATCTGTTACTACCTCCATTTCTTCCCCATCTATTTGCCAGGAAGTGAGGGGATCAGATGCCATGATCTTAGTTTTCTTAATGTTGAGTTTCAAGCCAACTTTTGCGCTGTCCTCCTTCACCCGCATCAAGAGGCTCTTTAGTTCCTCTTCACTTTCTGCCATTAGAATGGTATCATCTACATATCTGAGGTTGTTGATATTTTTCCCAGCAATCTTAATTCCAACTGGTGATTCATCTAGGTCCGCCTTTCTCATGATGTGCTCTGCATATAAGTTAAATAGGCAGGGTGACAGTATACAGCCTTGCCAAACTCCTTTCTCCATTTTGAACCAAGCAGTGGTTCCGTGTCCAGTTCTCACTGTTGCTTCTTGACCCTCATATAGGTTTCTCAAGAGCCAGATAAGATGGTCTGATACTCCCATCTCTTTAAAAACTTGCCACAATTTGTTGTGATCCACACAATCAAAGGCTTTAGCATAGTCAATGAAGCAGCAGTAGATGTTTTTCTGGAACTCCCTAGCTTTCTCCATGATCCAGCATATGTTGGCAATTTGATCTCTAGTTCCTCTCCCTCTTCGAAATCCTGCCTGTACGTCTGGTAGTTCTCAATCCACATACTGCTGGAGCCTAGCTTGTAGGATTCTGAACATAACTTTGCTAGCATGTGAAATGAGTGCAATGGTGCGGTAGTTTGAACATTCTTTGGCATTGCCCTTCATTGGGACAGGAATGTAAACTGACCTTTTCCAATCTTGTTGAGTTTTCCAAATTTGCAGGCATATTGAGTATAGCACTTTTACTGCATCGTCTTTTAAGATTTTGAATAGCTCAGCTGGAATACTGTCACCTCCACTAGCTTTGTTGTTGCTCAGACTTCCTAAGGCCCATTTGACTTCACATTCCAGGATGTCTGGTTTGAGGTCAGTCACCACCCCATCGTGGTTATCAGGGATGTTAAGCTCTTTCTTGTATAGTTCTGTGTAACCTGCTTTGGTTTACTGAGCCTCTATTTCCCTCATGGGGCTTCCTGTTCTCTCGAGGCCAGGTCTAGAGTGCCTCTACTTGGTGTTGGGCGACTGAGACAGATTGGGGATTCTGTTGGTGTACCGTGCACGCTTCTGCCCAACAGACTCCCTGCCTGAGCTGACGGAGATTGTCTCGGACTTGGTGTTGAAGACT